TGGATGCGGCCGCTCTTTACTATAGAAATAAACATTAGTCAGGTTTTCATTTATGCACATCCATTACAAAAAGTCATATATGATAATGCTGTCAGCTTGAAAATACTCGATAACAAGGAACGTTTGAGTGTTTAATTCTGCATAAAATCTTCGGTTTACATTTTGACTAGGTTCTTTTGGCCTTTGTTTTGTTCAATGGTTAGTTATGTACTTTGCAAGGTTTAATCCAACATCGCTTCTTTTCTGTATAAATTATACTTGCTTGAAGACAGATTTTTAGCATTGTTCTTATTTTCTCAAAAAGTATTTTTTTACAAATTTATATGAATGAGAGTAATGCTGTCGACTTGAAAAAACTCAATAACAAGAAACGTTCGAGTGTTTAATTCTGCATAAAATCTCCGGTTTACATTTTGACTAGGTTCTTTTGGCCTTTATTTTGTTCAATGGTTAGTTATGTACTCTGCAAGGTTCAATCTAACATCGCTTCTTTCCTGTATAAATTATACTTGCTTGAAGACAGATTTTTAGCATTGTTCTTATTTTCTCAAAAAGTATTTTTTTACAAATTTATATGAATGAGAGTAATGCTGTCAACTTGAAGAAACTCGATAACAAGGAACGTTTGAGTGTTTAATTCTGCATAAAATCTTCGGTTTACGTTTTGATTAGGTTCTTTTGGCCTTTGTTTTGTTCAATGGTTAGTTATGTACTCTGCAAGGTTCAATCTAACATCGCTTCTTTCCTGTATAAATTATACTTGCTTTAAGACAGATTTTTAGCATTGTTCTTATTTTCTCAAAAAATATTTTTTTACAAATTTATATGAATGAGAATAATGCTGTCGACTTGAAGACACTCGATAACAAGCAACGTTAGAGTGTTTAATTCTGCATACAATCTTCGGTTTACGTTTTGATTAGGTTCTTTTGGCCTTTGTTTTGTTCAATGCTTAGTTATGTACTTTGCAAGGTTTAATCCAACATCGCTTCTTTTCTGTATAAATTATACTTGCTTGAAGACAGATTTTTAGCATTGTTCTTATTTTCTCAAAAAGTATTTTTTACAAATTTATATGAATGAGAGTAATGCTGTCAACTTGAAAAAACTCGATAACAAGAAACGTTCGAGTGTTTAATTCTGCATAAAATCTTCGGTTCACATTTTGACCAGGTTCTTTTGACCTTTGATTTGTTCAATGGTTAGTTATGTACTCTGCAAGGTTTAATCCAGCATCGCTTCTTTCCTGTATAAATTATACTTGTTTGAAGACAGATTTTTAGCATTGTTCTTATGTTCTCAAAAAGTATTTTTTTACAAATTTATATGAATGAGAATAATGCTGTCAACTTGAAGAAACTCGATAACAAGGAACGTTTGAGTGTTTAATTCTTCATAAAATCTTCAGTTTACATTTTGACTAGGTTCTTTTGGCCTTTGTTTTGTTCAATGGTTAGTTATGTACTCTGCAAGGTTCAATCTAACATCGCTTCTTTCCTGTATAAATTATACTTGCTTTAAGACAGATTTTTAGCATTGTTCTTATTTTCTCAAAAATTATTTTTTTACAAATTTATATGAATGAGAATAATGCTGTCGACTTGAAGACACTCGATAACAAGGAACGTTTGAGTGTTTAATTCTGCATAAAATCTTCGGTTTACGTTTTGATTAGGTTCATTTGGCCTTTGTTTTGTTCAATGCTTAGTTATGTACTTTGCAAGGTTTAATCCAACATCGCTTCTTTTCTGTATAAATTTTACTTGCTTGAAGACAGATTTTTAGCATTGTTCTTATTTTCTCAAAAAGTATTTTTTTACAAATTTATATGAATGAGAGTAATGCTGTCAACTTGAAAAAACTCGATAACAAGAAACGTTCGAGTGTTTAATTCTGCATAAAATCTTCGGTTTACATTTTGACTAGGTTCTTTTGGCCTTCGTTTTGTTCAATGTTTAGTTTTGTACTCTGCAAGGTTTAATCCAGCATCGCTTCTTTTCTGTATAAATTATACTTGCTTGAAGACAGATTTTTAGCATTGTTCTTATGTTCTCAAAAAGTATTTTTTTACAAATTTATATGAATGAGAATAATGCTGTCAACTTGAAGAAACTCGATAACAAGGAACGTTCGAGTGTTTAATTCTGCATAAAATCTTCGGTTTACATTTTGACCAGGTTCTTTTGGCCTTTGTTTTGTTCAATGCTTAGTTTTGTACTCTGCAAGGTTTATTCCAGCATCGCTTCTTTCCTGTATAAATTATACTTGTTTGAAGACAGATTTTTAGCAATGTTCTTATTTTCGCAAAAAGTATTTTTTTACAAATTTCTATGAATGAGAGCAATGCTGTCAACTTGAAGAAACTCGATAACAAGGAACGTTTGAGTGTTTAATTCTGCATAAAATCTTCGGTTTACATTTTGACTAGGTTCTTTTAGCCTTCGTTTTGTTCAATGTTTAGTTTTGTACTCTGCAAGGTTTAATCCAGCATCGCTTCTTTCCTGTATAAATTATACTTGTTTGAAGACAGATTTTTAGCATTGTTCTTATGTTCTCAAAAATTATTTTTTTACAAATTTATATGAATGAGAATAATGCTGTCGACTTGAAGACACTCGATAACAAGCAACGTTTGAGTGTTTAATTCTGCATAAAATCTTCGGTTTATGTTTTGATTAGGTTCTTTTGGCCTTTGTTTTGTTCAATGGTTAGTTATGTACTCTGCAAGGTTCAATCTAACATCGCTTCTTTCCTGTATGAATTATACTTGCTTTAAGACAGATTTTAGCATTGTTCTTATTTTCTCAAAAATTATTTTTTGACAAATTTATATAAATGAGAATAATGCTGTCGACTTGAAGACACTCGATAACAAAGAACGTTTGAGTGTTTAATTCTGCATAAAATCTTCGGTTTACGTTTTGATTAGGTACTTTTGGCCTTTGTTTTGTTCAATGCTTAGTTATGTACTTTGCAAGGTTTAATCCAACATCGCTTCTTTTCTGTATAAATTATACTTGCTTGAAGACAGATTTTTAGCATTGTTCTTATTTCCTCAAAAAGTATTTTTTTACAAATTTATATGAATGAGAGTAATGCTGTCAACTTGAAAAAACTCGATAACAAGAAACGTTCGAGTGTTTAATTCTGCATAAAATCTTCGGTTTACATTTTGACCAGGTTCTTTTGACCTTTGATTTGTTCATCGTTTAGTTATGGACTCTGCGAAGTTTAAGGCTTAGATTCTAGTTTGAGTCATGCCATAATTTATAGCAAGGACTTTGTGACGTGATGTGTATACCATAAAGCATTGTCTCGTTTTCTTTACTTTTTTGAGGATCGATTAAATGCCATGCTATTAGACGATTGTACGTTTTAAATGTGCGTATTATATACATCTATAAATTATTATACTCGTATTTACACGAGTTTACTTTTTACAAGTTCTTGTATGTGATCACTTCGTATATTAGTATTTTAATCTTGCTGCATTTGATTGATTTCTATGGGTTGTAACAAGTTTGCTGTAAAAATGTGTGTAATATAATTGAGTAATGACATTTCCGACCATTTTTATTTATTGCTGCCAGCTTGTATTAATCCTGCTTATCCCTACTTAATAAAGGGTTGTCCAATAGGGACGCAGGAAAGTAAACGTCAATTTGACATAGACGCCATCTTTGTTTTCTGTCACCGACATGTCATTTTGTTAGACCGCATTAAAGTTATTCAAGAACACAAAAAAATGGTGCAAAAATAAAAAACACGTTTCGCGCGCTTCGTGAACATTTCGGTCGCAACAACCGCCCAAACGAAACAACCATCGGTCGTCTGGTGCGTAAATTCGAGGCAACAGGTTCTGTGGCAAATCTGCCAGGCACTGGCCGGCCAAGGAGCCTTCGGAAAATATTGCTGTTGTGAAGGAGAGTGTGAGAGACGATCCGAAACAATCAACAACGCGTCGAACCCAAGAATTGGGCATTTCGAGAACCAGTTTGCTCCGCATTCTCCACAAGGATTTGAATGTACACGCCTACAAGATCCAATTGACGCAAGAGCTGCGTCGGGCCGACCATTTTTCGCGCCGAACGTTCTCAGATTGGCTCCTTGAACACCGCCAAATTGATGCCAATTTTTCATCAAAAATCATGTTCAGCGACGAAGCGCATTTCACTTTGAATGGGACGGTAAACTAGCAAAACTGCCGCATCTGGGCGAACGAAAATCCCCGTGAGTATCAAGAGCAGCCGATGAATCCTCAAAACGTGACTGTGTAGTGTGCATTGTGGTCAAAATGCATCATCGGACCTTACTTTTTCGAAAATGCGGCCGGGGACGCCGTTACCGTCAATTCTGCGCGATATCACGTGATGATAGAGGACTATTTTTTGCCGCAACTTGAAGGAATGGATATGGACGATGTTTATTTCCAACAAGACGGTGCAACATGCCACACAACCAACGTCAATATCAATCGATTGCAGTCCTTCTTCGGTGATCGCGTGATTTCGCGCAGAGGAAATGTGCCATGGCCACCAAGATCGTGCGATTTGACTCCCTTGGACTTCTTTTTATGGGGATATTTGAAAAGCAAAGTCTACGTCAACAAACCAGCCACCCTCCAAGAACTCAAAAACAACATCATTGCCGAGATAAATGCCATAGAACCGACCATGTTGCAAAATGTCATTGAAAATTTCGACCATCGCGTGGACGTCTGTAAATCCAGTCGTGGTGAACATTTGAGCGATATTATTTTTCATATATAAATGGTATAAATGAACCTTCAAAATAAAGTACCCAGCTTGATTTGAATATCAACCTTTCTTGTTTTAATATGCGTTTACTTTCCTGCTTCCGTTTTGGACAACCCCATATTATAAATGTGAAAGTGTATAGGTATGTTTGACGAGAGTGGATCAAGTATAAATCGGAATTCCGTTTGGAAAAAGGCTACAATCTCTAATTATTCCAACTCCTAAAAAATGAAACCCACTGAGCAATGCTGTATTATTATTTTAATTATTCTTATAAACTCAAATCATATAAACTATAACTGTAATACATCCATAACTTCAATATTCAAGATATCACATTATCCTATCCTATTCTTCATAATAGTATCATAAATATCAGTACGTCTTTGTTCAAAAATTGGTATCTGCTGTCGCACTTCGTCACACTCATTCAAGTCAATATCAGCGTGGACGATTTCTTCTTTCGCATCGGCCTGAGCGATAACTTTGCCCCAAGGGCTCGTGATCTGCGAGTGGCCCCAGGCAATGTAACCGGTCTCATTTCTCGCCGGACTGATGGCGAATACGTACACCTGATTGTCGAGAGCTCTGGACCGCTGGAGAAGCTCCCAGTGGATGGGACCCGTCGTCATGTTGAAGGCGCCTAGAATTTGGAATTTTTGCACATGAAATCCACGAATGCAGTTCGCAGTGTCCATTTGTCAATGTCCCATGCGAGGTAGTGAAAATGTACGGAACTCGAAAGCTAAGTGTCCACAAGGAGACTAAAATCTCAAGAGATTTTTGTTTCATTAGAAATGTATCCGAGCTAAGCTGTTTCCACGTTACCTACGTGAGAGAAACAGAGGAGAGTACTTCATAAAATTATTGATCTGATTATTAAATGATTGCGGGTAAGAAATGCCAACAAAAAAATAATGAAAAGACTGCTTGTTATTATTATATTGCTGTTAAGTTCCGTAATGTACGAGTAAACAAAAGGCTTCACAAATGCTGCAGATTGGATTATGGAAAGAGCGAATACATTATTAGAAAAACGATCACGGATTTTATAAAAACTTGAACTGTTGAATTTCGGTATTTGCTGGACAAATTAAAGTTTGCAATAGAAAAACAAGATAAACATATTTATGCAAAATGCAATTCACGGCTATTATGTAAAAAACCTAAAAAATGTCAAAATCAAAACCAAAGAAATGTCATCTTGCATACTAGGTAGTTTTTAGTGTGCAAATATTTCATTCCCCGTTTGCTTGCTATGATCGCCTATGATGTGCAACTAATTTCTAGCCAAGTAAGTGTAGCTGTCCGTTTTTGAAAACTCAAAAAACGAGAGCGTTGGCAGCATATTCGGTAATACTTTTCTCACATAGCAAACATCACTGATTTTATGCACACCAATACACATAATCATCAAGATGCGATCTTGCTACTCAACCAACTTTCTTTCACATCTTTTTAGAGATACACACAACAGACTACCCGGCTCACAAAACATACTTGCTTTCTGCAACCAACAATGCGTGTCGTTGAGTCATTCCTCCTTAGATGGACGCTCACGACGACAATAGCGATCAAACGTGGCGTGAACTATTTGCACACTAAAAACTACCTAGTCTTAAGATGACATTTTGTTGTTTTTTCGGTTTTTTACACAACACCAATGCAGATGCCTTCGTGTATTAATCAGGCACCTTTTTCGCGTAAAGAAATGCAAGTAAGTATGACAGCAACCATATCCGGTTTCAGCAATTGTAATTCTCAAACTGAGTTTTTTTTATTTTCTCGCCACGCCTACTGGCGAGGAGGTATTGTAATCGCGAACATTTTTGAAAATGAAATGCTTTTGGGGTGGTAAATGACATCACGAAAAACCATGTCTCATAACTTGGATGAATTTTTACACAAGGTTACTACTTTGCCAAGGTCGACAGGTTTTTAGTTTTTGAAAATCGTCCAGTAGCGGCGAAGAGAAGCCCAAAAACGAAAGTAATAAAAATCGCTCAAACTTCGATCTTTGATGTTTGAGAAGCTCGTGATCATTTTCGAAAAAAATAGTAAGGGTCAAAAATAAGTTCATATACATGAAGGCAGACTGAAAGTAATGAAGTGAACCATTCAGCATTCACAGTCCTAAAATAATGTTCAAAAAATCACTACAGCCACCATCTTATATCAGGAGAGTAGCCAAAAAAATAACACATTTCTCTGAGGAATTCAAACTCATCTTTTTGTGTGAGTTTATGTTTGTTCAATTTGTCTCGTTAATTTTAGTGTCAACTTATGTTTTTTCTGATTCAGATTATTTTGCGTTTCTCATAATCTCCCAAAGGCATTTTTACAAAATTTTAGGAATATGATGACGCCAAAATGACGTCATCATTCTGTCACTTTTGGTCGGAAACGTCACTGGCTAAAAAATAACGTCTTTATTGACGCTATCTTTATGACGACAACAAGACGTCCTTTAAAGGATGTCATTTTGACGTCTTTTTTAGTCAGTCACTACTGAAAAGTCAACACTTATCTACAAAGAAAATATAATTTAATGAACAGTAAGGTAAACTAGATACTCAAATACTATTAACTACCTTATTGTTCTTTATACAATGTATTAGGAATTCTTTGACCAAAAATGTATGTAATAACAAGGGAGTTCAAGAGTGGTAGGAAAGTAGAATATATATATATATATATATATATATATCTCATCTTTGTACATATTTGGTTTTTTATACGACATACTATGACATTATATAATTACGCCATTTCTGTTGGCCGACATACGCCAGTAGTGCCCTAAGAATGCCAACAACATTATGATGTTACTGTGTTCACTAGGATTGCTTTAAGTATAACTACACTAAATATAATGTTGTACATACCAGGGTAGATTAGCAAATGGCAGCCCATAATTCTGTACAACTTGGCCAATTCTTCAAATCTCAGATCATAACATATCCCCAATCCAACTTTAATTCCTTCAAAATCAAATGTAACTAACTCATTTCCAGGATGCAATACATCCGACTCCTTGAACGTCATCTTTCCAGGTATATCAATGTCGAACAAATGCATTTTCCTGTATTTTGCAATAAGCTGCCCTTGCGGATTCCACACCGTGCAGGTATTGTAAAGTTTACCATTATCTCTCTCAGGAAATGTTCCACCAACTAAAACAATATCGTTTTCTCGAGCAGCTTTGGAAAGCATGTCGCATGTAGGTCCATTTGATATGCTTTCTGCATATTCTTCAAAGAATTTTGTTCCGTACGGAGAATTGAAGCATTCTGGTAGCGCAACAAGCTTGGCACCTAAATTTTTGGCTTGTTTTATCAGACTAGCTGCTCGTTCTAAATTCTTCAATCTATCCTCACATACTTGCAGCTGTATCAAGGCAGAACGAAAGCGCTTCATTATGCTGATTGACATTACGTAAAAATAAGCAAAGTGGGAATTATGACTACCTAAATGCTTTATTTATCATATCTAATCAAAAGTGTTTTTTAATATTCTGACATTTGGAAAGTAAGGTTATCGCTGATTAAGGTAATTCTGTATAGAGGGCATGAAGGTACAGGCACAGGTGAATGTTAAGTTGATAGTTCATATAATATCGGTTAGGTGGCGTACCTAGAAGCCAGTGGCGGTACATAAATATTTAGAACTCAGGTTTCGTGGGTGGCCAGTACGTGTACTAAAGGTATATTCTTTACCAGTTAGCCAAGCCTGGGTCCTTTAATTTCCGCTAGAGCGACCGGTTGTACACAAACTTGTCTTTATATTGATGGTGGATATGCCACCGGTGCCAACAGCATCCGTTTTACATTTTATCCTTTTTTGACAACTACAGTTTTGTGTGAAAAAAATAGAAGAATGAAAGATTGATTGCTACAGCATAGGAGTGGCGTGAAATTTAATGCTTTATAACACAATTCGAAATAAACAGAGCATCTGAAGGCAAGTGATTTTATTTTGAATTATGCATATCTGAAAATTGGCTCTTTCTCTCCACTGGATAACTTCTTCATCCGAATCGCTTAACAAATGTTCCACCATAATATCAACTGCTGCGTACATTGCCATTGTGATTTTAAATCATACGGAGATCAAATTACCAACATAAATCAAATGTTAGGTTTTCTCATATGACGGCAACCTGAAGGCTAAAAATGCGTCTTTTTATTAACCACCATTGAACGGAACCGGTTGCTGACGTCGTCACATCAGCTGTTAACCATAAGTTCACCGGATTCATCAGTAATGGAATCAACCGGTGACTTAAGGAATTCCTTATGTATCTGGAAAAGTGACATTTTGTCGTTTTTTTTACGTTTTATAGGTTTTTTGTGACAACGTGGGCTTTCTACAATATATCAACTTAGCACTACCTGTTGTTTACTTGCGAACTTGTTTTATAGTTGTTCGTTTCTTGTCTCAAATACAGTTGAGAGATGTATTGAAAGCTAGAAATTAGTTTCGGATCCACTTTTTTTTGTTCATCCTGGAAATTACTATTGCAAATTTGCTGAATTTAAAAAATGAGTGAAATAAGAAAATAAAATCACTGGTTGGTAAAGTATATTATAAGTAAAAGGTGAAAAAATATGAGATAGGAATATCTATGAAACGTAAAACAATTATTACACCTCTCTCCAGAAAGGACAACATATATAAATAACGCGTCGGGCCCAGCTAATAGATATACTTCATTGGCAGCATATTTAATAATAATTTTCACACATAGCGAATATCACTGATTATATATATATACTTTTTGTGGCATCAACTATTTTCACACAAAAGACTAGCTGCCAATGTTTTGTAGATTTTTTACATGATGCCCCTGCGACAGGGTTACTACATAAAAAGATCTATATAATGAAAAAACAACCAATAAAACGTCAAAGTAGGCTAGTGTGCATATAGTTCGTTCTGCTACAAGTGAGCATAAAGTGAACGGCGACTAGTTCCAAGTTGACGTGTTATAGGAAAACCTACATTATGTCAAAAAAAAACGACATAATGTTACTTTCCAAGTTACGGTATACCCCTGCCGAAAGTTGAAAATCCCATCTGATCCTGAGCTACTTTTGGGCGCCCTGGACACGTGCATGTTATGCCTGTCTGGTAATACGTAATAGCAGTAACCATTTGCCGAATGTACCTAATGATCAGCAGGAATGATACGCTACTGATATAATTTCCAAGGCGATACCAATGTAGATATCTTTCTAAAAAAGTTGCAGCTTCTCTTCGGTAGATGTCGCCAGATCACATGACATTTCAATCCGAGGGAAAATTTGAAAGTTGAAAAATAAAGTTTACAATAATCAAGCTAAAATTCAATTTCATATTCCAAAATATAAAAATTCATTTTCAGAATCATTCGTACATTTAAAAAAATCGTATTATGCGTTTGCGAATGCAATAAATTTAAAAATGGCAACAACCAAATGTCCCGGCACGGGAGTCAGATGTCGCAGGCGCAACCAGGCAGGTTTGAATACGTTCGGCATTTCTGGTGATACAGCGATGAGTGAAAAGGATTATTTAACCTCTCTGCCCTCTTGGAAGGCTCTCCAGGATTATTATAATAATAATGGCAAAAATTTGGTGATAAAAAAATTGTTGCAAGAGGACCCGAAACGATTTGAAAATTTCAGGTAAGAACTGCACCTTCTACTGCTGATGACCTCTAATTGACCTTGATAGTTCTTGAGCATATCAAATAAATAGGACTTCTATTTAAAGAAAATTGCACCTGCTAGATCTTTTTTGTACCTCCTTGTATAGTTTTCACATAACATGACATCATTTAAGGATAGTTTTATTCATCAGATACATGGACTGATAGCCAAAAGTTCCAAAATGTTATGTAAAAGTTTGATAACTATATCCAATGATAATCAAGTAGCCGACTTTATAATTAGTATGGTACTGACCTATGGTATCAAAGGTCAAAGCTTAAAAATTTGTTAGCTGTTAAGTGAGATTTTTTATACAGACATGCTGTAACACCACATATTTTACATACATTTTTGCTTGTTGAGTTTGTGAATTTGATAACTGCTGCTAATACACTAATAAGCTTTGTGGCAGATTTCAAATATACATACATGGTTTTTTAGTATCAATAATAGAAAATATTATTTTTTGTATTACGGTCTATTTATTTTTCACCACTTATATCCAGTAAAAAAATGAATAAATGCCAGCAATCTATAACAAATCTTCATTTATCTTGTGAATATAGTATTGAAATATAAAAATAAAACTGCTCTCAAAAAAGCATAATATGTATCAGCCTTCATTGCCATTGCTTCGTTGCCCCAATGCATTCTTACATAGTATCTACAATTTTCTAGGATCACATTTAAATGAACATAACTTCTGTTACTATTACATAGTTATTGGTCTTATTTATTTGAGTATTCGGACATGGGCAATCATAAGCCAGATGTACTAGAAAATCTCGTCAGTATTGTGCCCTGTTCAGGCTTTTCTGCTCAAAGTGTGAGTTTCTCCAGAAATGTGAAATAGTTATTAAAACCCTTCAGTCACCCACCCACCATAGTAATGCTTGCTGCATTTTGTCAAGGTTATTTCTAGTTATATATATCTTAATAGTTCATTTTTGTATAATAAGCACTTTTTCAAACAATTTGGGAACAGATAAACCAAAAAGGATCTACTTTCATATAAGGCAAAGTAACTGCCTAAAGGCTGTGCTTTTCCCAATGTTCTAACTAATTGTTCATATAATAAAGGAAATCTGTTGGTCTACATGATTATTAAAATTTAATTTATGAGCAGGGACCAGTCCAGAAAATTTGATTTTTGTTTTGCCTATCAACTCTTTATTTAAATTTATAGAATCAAGGGAGCACTTAAATGTCATGAATTTGGTCTTCCTGACATAGAAAGTTAAGCAATTATTATCAGCCAACTCTTTGACTTGCCGCCAAATTCACAGAAATCAGCGCCACCGAAATCCTTTACTTTGTTTCAGTTTAAAACTCTCCACACCTCAAGATGGAGATATACTCATTGACTATTCAAAAAATCGGGTGGACAGTCAGACAATGCAGTTGCTGTTCAACTTGGCCAAAGAAACGAACGTTGAACAAATGAGAAATGCTATGTTCAGTGGGCAGAAGATCAATTTCACAGAAGACAGGTATATTTTGTATCATATTGGAAGATCAGTTATTACTGCAATATTTATGTCACAGTAGACACTTTATTGTTACCTTGGCACCAGCTGAAAGTTTTTGGTTATTTTATATGCCCGTTTTTTATGTTTCAGGGCCGTATTGCATATCGCGCTACGAAATCGCTCTAACAGTCCGATAATAGTTGACGGCAAAGATGTAATGGCTGATGTTAACAGTGTCCTGGACCATATGAAGTCGTTCACTCATGACGTATTGAGTGGCAACTGGAAAGGGTAGGTATTTTGATTTTGAAAAGATGCACTCTGATGTGGAAGTCGTACTCCTATTGGCATGTCTTTATATACTTATATGTATGAAAGCTCTTTCTTCCTTTTACTATTTTCTCAAGCTAGATCATTTTCCTTATATCCTTTTCATCTCTATAAATCATTTTTGTGATATTCGTTGTATTTTTTAACTTTATGTATGTAGCTAGCTGTACATGGTGTCCCATTTTAATCGCCCTACCCAAATATTTCGAAAACTGCATTCTACAAAAAAAGTTTCAAACGCAAGTTCCCAGGGGGAAATGATGGTGGCATTGAAAATGACCTTGACTACGACCTTTAAATCAATTTCAAGGTCAAGTCAATACTTTTGAATGGAACCCCTCTTTTTTACATCAGAATTGAAAAGAGGAACAACGTTTTCGTCTGAACACCACCTTGACCATAACCTTTGCAGCCAAGGCCATGCCAAGGTCAAATCAAAACACCAAATCTGAAAAACGTTCAACAGCACAGTTGTGAGGTTTGTGGATATCATTAAAAGGTGAGCTTGACTATTACTTCCATCATGACCTTGACCACGACCTTCAAGGTCGAATCAACATTTCCAAGGAAACCCCTTTGTATACCAGAACGCGGGAAATTTTACGTCTGCATATGACCTTGACATCATAACATCCGAGTCAAGGTCACACTTTGAGAAGTTTCCGTTAGAAATCCTGGCTTGACCAATAAGGTCAAGTCATGATCAAGGTCACCTTTGGATGATTCCCACAAACTTCTCAACTACGCTGTCGAACGTTCTTACTAGAGCAAATCGGTTTTTATATCTTGATTTGACCTTGACATGACCTTGGAGGCAATGGTCAGTCATGGTAAAAGATGATTGCAAGTAGAATCTGCTCCTCTTTTCAATTTCGATTTGAAAAATATTTGTAGGTATCATCCAAATTTGAGCTTGACCATGACTTCGATTATGACCTTGACCACGACCTTGAAGGTCAAGTCAACATTTCCAAAGGGCACCTCTTATTTTTATACTGGAATATGACATCGACCTCAAACAACATTTGAGCTTGACCGAGTCAAAGTCACAATTTCATTTCCAGTATACATATGGGTTTCCTTTAAACATAATGACTTCAAGGTGGTGGTCAAGGTCATAATCAAGGTGACCTGTGGATGATCCTTGAAACCCTTTGTGGGAATCAAGGTGTCTTTGGCCATGACATTCAAGGTCAAAGTAAAATTTCTAGAGGAAACCTCTCATTTTTATAGTAGACATATAAGAAGGTCACACATTTCTATTTCCAGTATAAATAGGAGATGTTTCCTTTAGAAACCTCGACTTGACCTTGAAGGTCGTCGTCAAGGTAATGATCAAGGTCACCTTTGGATGATGCCCACAAAGGATTTGGTGGTCAAGACCACGACATTCTAACTGAAAACAAAATTTCCAAGGAAACCTCTTATTTTTATAATGGAAATGAAGAAAGCAGTACATTTCTGAATATGACCTTGACCTCAGATATCATTTGAGCTTGGCTCGACATTGACTGAAGATGTAAAATTTCATACTTTTCCATTTCCAGCATAAATATTAGAGGTTTCCTTTCGAGATTTTGACTTGACCTTAAGGCCGTGGTCAAGGTCATTATCAGGGAAATTCTTACACCCATCACAACTGTGCTATCGAACATTTTTGTTAGAATAAACCTGTGTCGATATCTTGATTTGACCTTGGCATGTTCTTGGGGGCAATGGTCAAGGTTATGGCCAAGATGACGATGGGCAGTAAAATTTGCTCCTCTTTTCAGTTCCGGTTTGAAAAAGGGAGGGTTCCATTTGAAAATATTTACTTTGCATTGAAGGTCTAGATCACCGTCATTTTGCCCATTGCCACTACAACTGTTTACAACCTTCTCAGAAGGCGCAGTTTCAGAAATATTTAGGTAGGGAGATTAAAACGTGATGCCGTGTAAAAGCGAATTTCTCGTGTATTGCAGTTATACTGGCAAACGAATCACAGACGTAGTGAACATTGGTATCGGCGGTTCCGATTTGGGACCGCTGATGGTTACAGAAGCATTGAAACCGTACAATCAAGGCCTGACGCTTCACTTTGTTTCCAATATCGACGGTACCCATTTAGCCGAGGTGCTGAAGAAGGTCTGTCCAGAAACGGTACTGTTTATTATAGCGTCCAAGACGTTTACCACCCAAGAAACCATTACCAATGCTACGTCTGCCAAGACTTGGTTCTTGGATGCTGCTAAAGATGTAAGTACTCGTAACTGAAACGTAATGAAGGAAGTTGAAGTTGTACGTAGTTATTTTTACTTTTTCAGTCGCCAAACCTAACTTGTTTTGCCTACGTTGACGTCCACTAAGTGATCATGTTTTTTTCCAACAGGGACGTTCTTGTACCACTTGCCCAATTTCCAAAAAGTAGTAATACATAAGAAAATCTTGCAATATTTGTGTAATTTCTCTTCTCCAAGAACATTTCGAACAACCTTACCGGACACAAATCCGTGTTAACTATGATTTTAAGCAGCTATTTGCAACGAGCACAATGTTTATCACCTCCTTGCGTTACTTTGTCGAATATTAGCTTTCCCCTGCGTTACTAATTTCTCCTAGGAAATATGAATTTAAACATTTTACACCCTCTCCTCGCCATGCTTATTCGTAAGACAACTCAATAAATAACCTGTTTTGTAAGCCATCAGGCCTTTAATCATCACAGTTCTGTATCATGACTTTGAACTCATCGTATTTGAGTGATGCAGCGATTTGTTTCTTTTCTGGGGGTCTGTAATTTCTTTTTTGGCACTTTTTATTATATTCATCCTGATATTTTTCCATTGACAAATGCACATTTCACCAATCGTAACTATAGATACGGACCTACAGGGAAAATTTCGATACCTACTGGGCAATTTTCTCTGAAAATTTACTGTTAACTAGGTAACGGGAAATGTTATCTGTAATTTTGCGATAATTTCCACACCACTTCCGGCATTTCTTATACACGAGGAAAATATTCTATTAAAGAACTTTCCATATTTACTGGATACACCCTGTATATATTCTAGCTGTTACGCACAATTATAAATCATACATCAAATTTATTTTTCAAAGTCTAACAGTCAACTTGCGAATTTGGATCAGTTTTATTTGCAGCGTAATTTTTTTAATTATTTACGTTTCTAGCCTTCTGTCGTAGCCAAGCACTTCGTTGCTTTAAGCACAAATGAGCCTAAAGTAAAAGACTTTGGAATTGATACCGCTAACATGTTCGGTTTCTGGGACTGGGTCGGAGGCAGATACTCCCTGTGGTCCGCTATTGGCCTCAGTATTTGCCTTTCAGTTGGATTTGATAACTTTGTAAAACTTTTGGAAGGCGCACATTGGATGGACAAACACTTTACCAGCGCACCATTGGAGAAGAACGTAAGTAATAATATGTTTCAGAGATATTACGGGAATACTTGTACCATCTTGACGGGTATGATCATCATTATACAAGGTTTGTCGCAAAGTAAACGGGGCCTTTGAAAGATATCCAATACAAGTAGCGCCACCTATTATCGGCGACTAGAGTTGGATAGGTACATCTTTCATTGCTGTCCTGTCAAAATTTCATGACAATTGAACCACTTCACGTGGAATTATCGCGCTCAAAGTGACACGACCTTAGCCAATATTAAGTTCTGTGTTAAACTTGGTAAAACATTTACCGAATCGCCAGAAACCGTCGAAGAAGTGCGTGAATTTATCAAAAATGATCCAAAATCTTCATTGAGATACATAGAAATGGAATTAAATATAAAAGATTCAATCCATCGTATTTTGATCAAGAATTTGGGCATGAGAAAGGTGTGTTCACGGTTTGTTCCGCACAAGTTCACGGATAACAAAAAATTGCTTCGTGTTCAACATTTGAGAGACATCATTAAAGAGGCCAAAAAAGACAAACATTTTCTGTGCAACATTGTGACGGGTGACGAAACGTGGTGTTTTCAGTATTATCCCGAAACCAAGCGTCAAAGTGGAAGCAACCAAGCGGGCCAAATCCGAAAAAAGCCATTTGGAAAAGTCCAAAGTGAAGACAATGATGATTTTATCTTGGTGTTATGAGGCGTTTGCTGCCCCGTATTCGTCCAAAATATCGCAAAGAAGGAAGCTGGCGCTTGTTGCACCATCTCATCGATCGTCGTCCGATTTTTTGACAAAAAATGCAAATTTAATCATTAACCGCTCGCCATATTCTCCTGATTTAGCACCGTGTGACTATTTTCTGTTCCGTAAACTACATTTGGCTATCAAGGGACAGCGGTATGCCGACGTAGAGGATATCCGGTCAATGAGTTAAAATCATCAGTCGAAAACCTTTTGGTCCGTGCAAATCGCTGTACTAATTCTGAAGAAGACTATTTTGAATGAAATAAATTCTATTTTCTGAAATGCTTGTTAATTTTTTTACTTTGACCTGTTTACTTTGCGACAGATCTTGTAGGTCTTTCCACTGATTTTGGCGGAGTTTAGCTTTTATAATGAAGCAGACTGTGCAACTCAGTCTTTTACGTATGTATTGTATAGATGAAATGAGTGAGATGTTGTTTTTTTGAGTTAGTTCATACTTTTTTTTAAGTTGGTCTTGAATAGTTAATATCTGTTCTATTGGACAAAAAAAATAATACTATCTTTTAGGCTTAAAGGGTCCTGAAACTTTAATTTTAATTTCAGTTGGTATTATGTGAATATATTCTTTAGACTGACAATGTTTGTTTATTTTTAGGCTCCCGTAATTTTGGCCCTTCTGGGAGTTTGGTATAATGACTTCTTTGGCGCAGAAACTCAAGCTCTTTTGCCGTACGATCAGTATCTTCACAGGTTTGCTGCTTACTTCCAACAAGGAGACATGGAGAGCAACGGGAAATATGTTACGCGAAGCGGGAAAAACGTATGTATTCATAAAACAAGGTTTATCATTAATTTTTTAATGTGACTTGCATTCAATATACACAGTGTCCCAATTTAATCTCATTACCTAAAGATTTCGAAAACTGTACAGTCGAGAAGAAAGTTTCAAACAAAAGTTATAGGGTTTTTACATGATGGTGACCTTGACCATGACTTTGAATGTTTTCAAATAGAACCTTTCCTTTTTCACATCGGCATTGAAAAGATGAGCAAATTCTTAGGCCGAACATTACCTTGGCAATGACCTTGACCGTTGCATTCAAGGTCATATCAAGAATTCGAAAACAATTTGTTCTAGCAAACATGTTAGACACTACAGTTGCGAGGTTTGTGGGATCACCCAAAGATTACCTTGATCATGACCTTGACCATGATCTTCAAGGTCAAGTTAAAATATCAGAAAGTATCAAAATTGTCGGAATTGTCAAAATTTGTCAAAGTTGTCAAAATTGCAAAAGTTGCCAAAATCGTTAAAATTGCCAAATTGTCAAAATTGTCAAAATTGTCAAAATTGTCAAAATTGTCAAAATTGTCAAAATTGTCTTAACTTTCTAAACTGTCTGAATTGTCCAAATTGTCAAATTTGACAAAATTTTCAAAATTGTTAAAATCGTCAAAATTGACAAAATTGTCTAAATTGTCTAAACTTTCTAAACTGTCTAATTTGTTTAAATTGTCAAATTTGTCAAAACTATCAATATTGTCAAAATTGTTAAAATTGTCAAAATTGACAAAATTGTCAAAAGCCTCTACAGGAGTTTGCAATTTTTGTAAAGAGAAAGATGAACAAATTCTTAGGCCGAACATTACCTTGGCAGTGACCTTGACCGTTGCCTTCAAGGTCTGAATTTGAATTCTGAAACAATTTGCTCTAGCAAACATGTTAGTCACTACAGTTGCGAGGTTTGTGGGATCACCCAAAGATCACCTTGATCATGACCTTGACCATGATCTTCAAGGTCAAGTTAAAATATCAGAAAGTATCAAAATTGTCGGAATTGTCAAAATATGTAAAAGTTGTCAAGATTGCAAAAGTTGCCAAAATCGTTAAAATTGCCAAATTGTCAAAATTGTCAAAATTGTCAAAATTGTCAAAATTGTCAAAATTGTCAAAATTGTCAAAATTGTCAAAATTGTCTTAACTTTCTAAACTGTCTGAATTGTCCAAATTGTCAAATTTGACAAAATTTTCAAAATTGTTAAAATCGTCAAAATTGACAATTGTCTAAATTGTCTAAACTTTCTAAACTGTCTAATTTGTTTAAATTGTCAAATTTGTCGAAACTATCAATATTGTCAAAATTGTTAAAATTATCAAAATTGAAAAAATTGTCAAAAATGTCAAAAGCCTCTACAGGAGTTTGCAATTTTTGTAAAGAGAAAGATGAACAAATTCTTAGGCCGAACATTACCTTGACAATGACCTTGACCGTTGCCTTCAAGGTCTGAATTTGAATTCTGAAACAATTTGCTCTAGCAAACATGTTAGTCACTACAGTTGCGAGGTTTGTGGGATCACCCAAAGATTACCTTGATCATGACCTTGACCATGATCTTCAAGGTCAAGTTAAAATATCAGAAAGTATCAAAATTGTCGGAATTGTCAAAATTTGTAAAAGTTGTCAAAATTGCAAAAGTTGCCAAAACCGTTAAAATTGCCAAATTGTCAAAATTGACAAAATTGTCTAAATTGTCAAAAGCCTCTACAGGAGTTTGCAATTTTTGTAAAGAGAAAGATGAACAAATTCTTAGGCCGAACATTACCTTGGCAATGACCTTGACCGTTGCCTTCAAGGTCTGAATTTGAATTCTGAAACAATTTGCTCTAGCAAACATGTTAGTCACTACAGTTGCGAGGTTTGTGGGATCACCCAAAGATTATCTTGATCATGACCTTGACCATGATCTTCAAGGTCAAGTTAAAATATCAGATATTATCAAAATTGTCGGAATTGTCAAAATTTGTCAAAGTTGTCAAAATTGTCAACATGGTCAAAATTGTCAAAATCGTCAAAATTGTCAAAATTGCAAAAGTTCTCAAAATTGTCTAAACTTTCTAAACTGTCTGAATTGTCCAAATTTGTCAAAATTGTCTAAACTGTCTGAGTTGTCCAAATTGTCAAAATTGTCCAAATTTTCAAAATTGTTATAATTGTCAAAATTGACAAAATTGTCTAAATTGTCAAAAGCCTCTACAGGAGTTTGAAATTTTTGTACAGAGACGGTTTGAGGTATCACTTGTTCTTTTTCGTTAGGCCGAGTACCAAACGGGGCCTATAGTATGGGGAGAACCTGGTACCAATGGACAACATGCTTTTTACCAACTGATCCATCAAGGAACCAGAGTAATTCCCTGCGACTTTCTCGCGCCGGCTCAGACACACAACCCAATCCAAAATGGCTTACATCATCAGATCCTGTTAGCCAACTTTTTGGCTCAAACGGAAGCATTGGCCATGGGCAAAACTGCTGAGCAAGCTAGGTATGAGATTAATTGTAATAATGGAAATGTTCGCTGATCTCTAAGTTTCGATATTTATATAGCCATTTTAGAAAGTATGAAATTATGAGTCTGTAGAAGGAGCTGAACCATGAAAGCCTTTATTTCTATTGAAAAGTTTAAGCTACATTTGGATGAATGGGTTATTATACCAACGTTTCTACTGCATCTTTTATTGGTCCATGTAATGGGTTCGAGCGCTATTGTCGCTCAAATACTAAGGAAAATGCAACTGGCAATCTGACAAAATGGAAGGAAAATGAAACCGATATTGATATTTATAACCCAAAATAATGTTTGCATCTAACAAGTGGTGGTTCGCTGTGTTACCAAATGCTCAGCTAGTAAGAAAAGTTGAACTGTAGGTCATTTTAAGTCGCATCCATGGACCCTATTTACAAGGAGACACTGCGGCAATGCTGCTCGAGCTGTAAAAAAGACCTCGAAACTTGAAGCCTGGACCACCAGTGGTGCTTGGTCAGGGTTGCCATGTTGGGCGATTTTCCCTCAAATTTGGGATTTGTCAGGCGACCCTGTAGCCGCCCAGTCAGGCGTTAAATTTTGGGCTTGTTTTTCCCTCAGTTCGCCGGTTCTTCTGGTATTTAGGCTCCACTTCTATTTTAGCATTTTACATAACCACGATTTTTTCAGGTTGCCATTTGTATTTTTCCCCGTATATCTGCGCGACAATGGCTAAAATCGGTATCGATATTTTTTAGGGAGGAGTTGACAAAATCGGGAATGTCTGGTGATAAAGTGGAAAAGATATTACCGCACAAAGTGTTCCAGGGCAATAGACCTACCAATAGCATCGTTGTGAAAAAAGTAACGCCTTTTACATTGGGCGCCCTCATCGGTGAGTAACATATTATTTATGTATATGTATATGTGTATGTATTTGTATTTTGTATATGTATTTTCAAAAAAAAAATATTCTGTCGGTTTTTCAATATTCTGCTTGCAAAAAATATGTTCAGAGTGTTTACACTTTTTTTATGAAGAATAATATGGAATATGCAGATAAATATTTGCGACAAAAAAATGTACGCCAGTTACTTTTGTGCAATCTTTATTATGTTATTTGGATTAAGCGAATAGAAAAACAACTTTTTTGTCTCTTGAATTTTTTTCTTATCTTGCTTACTTTTCGCGACAGAAAAAATCCATTTTATCTGACAATTGACAATGCAATATTATTATGATATAGAGATGATCTAAAATGTTGGTTCAATCAATTAGGCAAGAATACTCAATAGATATAAGCACGTCTCCCGCATTTAGATTAATTTGTTATATTTTTTATGCATCTTATGCATTTGATTTTATTATACAGGGTGTCCCAGAAGTCGACGTCAAGCCGAAACCGGATGATAGGCAAAGTCATAACAGCTATCAGAAAAATATTTAAAAAAAATTTATGTATGTGTTTTGAAAATTATAGGTCTTTGAAAAAGATATAGAAATTTCACACCCTACGGCAGTCTGTCAACTCCTGTTACTACAAATATTAACTTTTTTTGGATTTTATTTTTACGATGTAATGATGAATAATGCATCTTCAAACTGGTGTCTCAACCTTACTGCCAACTTTTCTCGTTCAGGAAAAATTGACACTTATTTCCCAACCAAGTATTCCAAAGTAAAACTTTGCTCAAATTTAACTGGCTGTACTGGAAAAAAATGTACTACGAGAGTTTGGCAAGTAACCTTAAAAGTTGGCGCATTTAATAACGATTCCAAAATGGTATAACACTTAGAAGATTACTCGTTAACTTATGCACAATTTTTATTTGAAGAAAAACTGATGAAAATTTTTCAAAATTTCCTAATTAAACAGCGATTATGAAAACGCACAAGGACCCTTGAGGATAACTGTTTGCACAACAGTGGGCGTCAAAATGCTGCTGATGATGATTTACCTTTACAGCAAATGCTCAAACTGCAGCCGCAATACACGCTCGACATCTTCTTAAAAAAGATCGGGTTATTAAACGAGCTCTCCTGCCCCGGGATTATGAGCCCCGAGTTGCTTTTTGTCGCACAATGTTAGAAAGACACAAGGAAGATCCATAGTTCTTTGAAAAAATCTATGGTCAGATGAGACCACATTTAAGAAATATGGGTACATGAACCTGCATAACTTACACGAGTGGCACGTAGCAAACCCACATTTGATGAGAGAAGATAAATCTCAATATCGCTTCAAGATAAACCATTGGACAGGAATTTTAAATGGTAAAATAATCGGTCCGTTTGAGTTCCCAGAGCCTTTGACTGCTGAGGTTTATTTAGGTTTTTTGCAAAATCATTTAGAAAATTTATTGGAGGACGTGCCACTGAGTATTTACAGGGACATGTGGTTTCAGCATGATGGCTGCCCAGCACACTATGCACTCTCAGTGAGAGAGTATCTCGATCAAAACTTTCCAGGCAGATGGATAGGGCGGTCTGGTACAATACCGTGGCCAGCCCGGTCACCAGATTTGAATCCGTTAGATTTTTTTTACTGGGGAACTGTAAAAGAAAAAGTGTATTTCAAGCCGATTCAAAATGTAGCTGAGCTACGGCAAAGACTATTGGAAGCAGCTGAGTTTGTTAATAACCGTGGATTCGCTCGTTTAATAACCCGATCTTTTTTAAGAAGATGTCGAGCGTGTATTGCGGCTGCAGTTTGAGCATTTGCTGTAAAGGTAAATCATCATCAGCAGCATTTTGATGCCCACTGTTGTGCAAACAGTTATCCTTAAGGGTCCTTGTGCGTTTTCATAATCGCTGTTTAATTAGGAAATTTTGAAAAATTTTCATCAGTTTTTCTTCAAATAAAAATTGTGCATAAGTTAACGAGTAATCTTCTAAGTGTTATACCATTTTGGAATCCTTATTAAATGCGCCAAATTTTAAGGTTACTTGCCAAAATCTCGTAGTACATTTTTTTCCAGTACAGCCAGTTAAACTTGAGCAAAGTTTTACTTTGGAATACTTGGTTGGGAAATAAGTGGCAATTTTTCCTGAACGAGAAAAGTTGGCAGTAAGGTTGAGACATCAGTTTGAAGATGCATTATTCATCATTACATTGTAAAAATAAAATCCAAAAACAGTTAATATTTGTAGTAACAGGACAGACTGCCGTAGGGTGTGAAATTTCTATATCTTTTTCAAAACACATACATAAAATTTTTTTAAATATTTTTCTGATAGCTGTTATGACTTTGTTTGACTATCACCCGGTTTCGGCTTGACGTCGACTTCTGGGACACCCTGTATATATATATATATATATATATATAGTTGAATAATTATTTCTGCATACGTCAATAAAACAGTAACAAAGACCTTACATACGTTATTCTCGTTTTTTTCACATATTCTTATTGATATGATCCGTTTAAATTTGGCATTATGATATTCAATTTCTCAGAAATTTAACTCGCTTTTTATGAATTCACTATTTCTCACTTTTTTCTCACTAGATTGTTTTTTTAAATTCTCACTTTTCTCACTTAAATTCATGCTTTGGGCCGCCAGCATCCCTGTTCTCTTCACTCTGTTGAGTGGGATATTTAAGAAAACCGGTCATGAAACGTTTTCCCCTGCATTTCAAAAATTTATTTTTGTATTTCAGCGATGTACGAGATGAAAATCTTCACCCAAGGTGTGGTCTGGGACATAAACTCGTTTGACCAATGGGGAGTCGAGCTGGGAAAACAGCTGGCGAAAGCAATAGAGCCCGAATTGAAAGACAATACGCCCGTTTCTTCGCATGACGGCTCGACTAACGGGCTCATCAATTTTATCAAATCCAGCAGATAAATCATTTTTATCAAATCCAGCAGATAAATTGTTATTTCTTTTTTGATTTTAATTGAAATTTAAAGCTTTATATATAATGTGGTATATTATGTTGATTTGAAATTTATATATTATGTTGTTTTGATCAAATATATTGAGGTGATGAAAATTTGCAATAAACTGGAACAAAAGTAACAAGGTGTTTTTTTTGTAAATTCTGTTCTGAACGAATCGGACGCATCGCACCGTTTTTGAAATAACATTTTATTTACTAACCAGTATAATAGTCTAATGATATTAGACGAAAATACCTCTGGTTTGCGAAATAATTGTAAAGTCTGGTCTTATTATTGCAAGTTGTTCAAGGGGGTATTCAAAACATTGACGCATAAAATGGATACACCAATTTTTGTGAGAAAACTTTTTATTCGATAACAAAGAATGATAAAACGTGTTTTATGGGAATCAATTGAAAGTGTTGATAGGAACGAAAAAATTCTTTATATAAGATTTTTAGGTATTTATGAGACCTACAAAGTGACACCTCACGTAAAAAGATAATAGCTAATAGCAAAAATGTTATGGCCGAAAAACGAAGGAAAATACAGGTTTTTGCACTTGGTAATGCGACGATGGTTTCTCGCAGATACTTGAAATTCTTCAAATTCATAGGATTCATACTTCTAAATAACAACAAAATTGGAGTATATTGGTCAAGCAGTTTTTGAGAATTTCTAATTGATTATCCCAAACAGTGTTTTCCGTCCATCACTATTAGTTTATTGAGCAATATACAGGGGGCATTTTATAGCAAAATACACTAGTTTACTTTGCCGATATGAATCGCAAACCATTCCGGAAGATAAATGTTATCTTTATGCAAAAAAGGATTTTCGACGTTTTTTCTTCTAAACATATTCAGACATTTCCTATTTGTTAGTAATTCGAAACAAAAGAGGATCGACACAACCGCGTTGCTTTTAACGCATGTTTTTCGAATATCGTAGCGCATTTGTTCAATTACAAATACGAAGTGTTTGAATTTGTTTAGAAGAAACAAACGTAACCTTTGTTTTTCGCATAAAAATAACATTTATCTTTCTGAATGGTTTGTGATTCATATCGGCAAAGTAAATTAGTATATTTTACTATAAAATGCCCTTTGAACTAACCCTGTATATTGTCCAATAAGCTAGTAGTGATGGCCGGAAAACAGGTGTTTTGGGATAAACAATTCAGGAGCAAAAGTAACAAAGCGTCTAAGTGAAATAGAGAAATTTAAAAAACCTCCACATACCAAAACAAAAAACTTTTTATTTTCAAATAATTATCTAACATATTGTGCACCTTAAGCCTAAACATGCTAAACAAAAACAACAGAAAAAAATGAAAACTTGAAAATAATAGAAAAAAACGAAAATCAATGGGAAACATGCTAAGTGCCAGTATATTATTTGTTTAAATCAGCGTAGAATTCTTGGTGTTTATAGTCTTGCAGATAAGAAATCAAGAATATTAAGAGTTTTATCTTGTTGTCACCGACCTTATTTATGCCTGGTACCTGGTTAATTGAGATATTTTTTAGATCTTCCACGGTTTTTCCCCTTTTAAGTATCGGAGTTGCTTTCCAAGGTGCTACTTCAGAGAAAAATTCAGGAGTAATAAAAAAAAAACAGGTTGCTGAGAGTCAACTTTCAAACGTACAACATTGCTAATATTCACTTGTTTCAGATTTAAGAGCTTGTCGACTGCCGCTTGTCACGAGTGATTTTTTAAGAGGTATAGGATTTGATTTTCAAAAAAAAACACAGAAAATTTGAAAAATGATTAAATCTTTATTTGAGTCGATAGAACGGTCGATATAATTTAATGTTTGAAGATTATTTCATGTAAATGTTGGCCGCGGCTCCGCTTTAGATGGCTCATGCGCAAGGTCCAATTTTGGCACACTCTCTCCAACATATCGGCCGGTATCTCACGAATAAATGCTTCAATATTGGCTTCCTGTGCGTCAATCGTTGCTGGTTTATCCCTGTAGACATTAGCCTTAACATGGCCCCACAAGAAATAGTAAAACGGCGTTAAATCACACGATCTAGGCGGCCAATTGACGGGCCCCAAACGTGAGATAAACTGGTCACCGAACTCGCTTCTCACTAGGGCCATCGTTTCGTGTCCGGTGTGGCATGTGGCACCGTCTTGTTGTAACCGCATGTCAGCCAAGTCTAGCTCTTCCATTTTGGGCAAAAAAAATGTTGTTATCATCGCACGGTAGCGCTCGCCATTCACAGTTACGTTCCGGACATTGTCGTCTTTGAAGAAGTACGGCCCGATGATGCCACCGGCCCATAAACCACACCAGTGATTTTTTCGGGATGCATAGGTAGCTCTTGCAATGCTTCTGGCTGGTCTTCACTCCAGATGCGGCAATTTTGCTTGTTAACGTACCCATTCAACCAGAAATGAGCTTCGTCGCTGAACACAATTTTTCGATAAAAATGTGGATCTTCCTCCAACTTTGCCAGCGCCCATTCACCAAATGGGAAACGTTGTGGGAGGTCGTGTGGCTTCAATTCTTGCACCAGCTGTATCTTATAAGGTTTTACACCCAAATCTTGTCGCAAAATTTTCCACGTAGTGGAGTAACAGAGGCCCAATTGCTGCGAACGGCGGCGAATCGACATTTCACGGTCATCACTAACACTGGCGGATACAGCCGCAATATTTTCTTCAGTCCTCACTCTACGTCTGCGTGTTGGTGGTTTAATGTCCAATAATGTAAACTGGGTTCGAAATTTAGTCACAAGCTTCCGAATAGCTCCCTCAGTAGGCCGACCAAATTGCCTATAAATTGGAAGCAGTGCTCGATGCACTCTCTTAACCGAGCATGAATTTTGATAGTAAAATTCAATAATTTGCAAGCGTTGTTCGTTCGTAAGTCGATTCATGGCTAAATTATAGTCCAAACTGAACAAGTTTGACAATGACACAAGACACGACACGCGTCATCTGTCAAAAACACTGTTGCCAAAACGATACTAGCAAAAAAATCACCCATTACATCAAAAAATTTTATATTTTATATATCTACTATTTCAAATCGTCCTGTGGGTGTACTTGAGAGTATTACATCGTGTAAGTCCTCAGGTACCATTGGAGGCACTTGCGTTTTCTTTTCTCAATCAAGGCGAATTTCCTGTCACACTGAAGGAAGCTATGACCACTGACCAGATACCTATGTTCAATAGTGTCAAAGAGTTCTCAACTCACCAATAAACACATAACCAAACACAATCACGTCTGTTTTTATTTTCAAAACGTAAATTGCCAATGCCCTTTTATATCATAAAAATTAGCAAACTCTTCTAGGTGTAACATTGTTGTCAAAAGTGAGTTTTGTAGATTGTGATAAAAAAAATTGTAAGCTGTTTTACAACGGGATTATAGCTTTGAGAGTATACGGAAAGCCCCTCGCCGGGAAACACAAAAAAATTTGCTGACTAAATTTTTTTATTGAATAATTTGGTTCTCGAAAAAAAAAACAACCACAATAAAAGCACTACTCACCTTATTAGAGGAACTACTGGATAATATAGAAGATAACTCTGATACTATGGATACCATGTATGACTTGAAAAAAGCATTTCATTGTGTCAATTCACATATACTACTAACTATAATACACTACTAAAAAAAAAAACAAAAAAAGATAGGGAACAAGAAAAAAATCAAATTTTCTGATGATATTTGAGATTCTGTATCTCGCTGAAAAATGGTCGTATCTTAACTAAAAAAAAACATTTTGAAGCTTTATGTTTCTAGTTTTCAGACTATTTAACTGAAAAATTTTACGAGTAACGGTTCTCATGCAATTTTTACATATAGCGCAAGAAATTTTTTTTGCAAAATTTCCGCATTTTTTTTGGCCCACGGGCTTGAAACATTTTTTTTCTTTTAGGCCATCTTATGAATTGGATAGCCATTTTATTCAGCCTCGATTTTATGTTTTTAAAATCTTGATATGATTATTTGGCGCGGAGATTCTGATATCTGGATTTTTCCACCAGATTTCATGACTTTTTGGTATACAAATTTTGCTCCTTTGATTCCTTTCAAATTTTGACCAACCGGTCCATAGAAACTGTACAATGGATCGATCTGCCGTCGTGCAGGGTTATTAGGGGTATATTGAGGTATAAAAACCCTTTGGAGATTTATTCAAGTTTTCGGAAATACTCTTCATTCCCTTTGCGATCACTGGTTTTCTAGATATCAGTGGTCGATGTCAAATGGATCGTTTTTCATTCAAAATCGGATATCTCTGGGACAAATGGGCGAATCGAAATTTAGAAGCAGCATATTGAAGAACGTGGACTAAAAAGAAAAGGCAAAAATTTTGCATAAAAATATCTGTTAGGAACGATTAACGAAGCTAGCCCGGCCCCTTCCCCGATCCCCGGCCTAACGGTTACGAAAACACTTGATTTTGAAATCCAGATTCTGCCACCGGATACCTTGAGGTAGGCTCATGGCGTTGCTCTTGATAACAAGAAAGCATTCGATCAGCTGTGGCACGCTGCCCTTATATGCAAACTGCGATCATATGGCCTCCCAGAGAAGCTTTGCAGAAGGGTGGCTGACTTTCTCTTTGCCTGCAAGATATACTTCGAAATTGACGGGTTCTCCTCTTCATCCCACAACGTCAACGCGGGTGTTCCCCAGGGATCGGTCTTGGGTCTGACACTGCCTTTTCAAAATCAACGACCTCCTTTCCTATAAGATCAATCGAAGCCACTGCTTTTTTAGTATGATGAGCATTCCAAGAATGTGAATATACGTTTTTTGACTGGGTATTGGTAAGGGAATCATCTCCCAAAATTTTTATTCAAAAAGAAAAAAAGGGCGGCGGGCGACAGTGGACTAACTCACATAACCATGCTAAATGTGAAAATTTTATGGAATACCATACCCATAAATATGTTATTCCTCTAAAATAGAAAAAAACTACAATGATGACGATATAAAGAATTAATATAGGTTCTCATTTCTAATATCATGAGAAAACCAAAAAGCAAGTACGGTCCTGCTTGTTGGAAAGTGATTTGCTTCACCCATCCATTATTTCACAAACATAATAAACACTTGAAGGAAACCATTTATGTATTAGAGTATTGTTAAATTTTTACAATCACTGCAAATTGTTCGCCTGATTGAATGTGAAATAAATTGGTATGTAATATTTTTTGAATATACTTTGCTATATTTCAGACGTCATCGAACTGTAAAATTATTTAATCCGTTTTTCATGTGTAAATATAGGTATTGTTTTTTTAAAGCTTCATTGTCATAGATTATTTATACCATTAGTGTTGCATAAGCTTGCAGTTTGTACAATAAATTAATCTCTGCCTAGGACAATTTTTGAATGTTTAGTACGTAAGGTTATGCGAACACACTTTAATGAAGGTTGACATGCGCATATCTCAAACAAATGAGTATTTATAGGTAGAACAGGAACGGATCCAAAACAATTTATTCATAAATTTCATATGATTGATCACCAGTAATACAGGAAAAATACCGCCACACGATATTCATGGTTTCGGTTGTTTTTGGGACATGCCCTGAATGTTTAATGCCTCAACAGTTTTTAAATATACTACGAAATGAGAAACATAGAGCAGAAAATCAGGTTTCTGCAAGCATCACAGCACTAGCTTTTCCTTTTTAAACATTTGTTATAATATCTTTAGAGCTTTAGACGAAAAGCTGGGTGTAGTTGTTGTGTCGATTGATTATTATTCTAGAGCATTCGATAAAAACAACCATAGCTGAGGTACGATGGCTTCGATCAAAAAGCGAATATCTTTTTTAGAAGTTACCTAGAAAAGCGTACTCAACGTGTTTATTTAAGCGTATCCAAATCATCAAATTTTCATAAAATCACGTCTGGGGTACCCCTAGGGTCGATCCTTGGGCGCTACTTTTTTTATTATACATCGCTGACATGCCAAGAAATGTCAACAACTCAGAGACTCAGTCCTTTGACGATGATGCGAACTACTTTGATATAAAGGGTTGTCCAATAGGGACGCAGGAAAGTAAACGTCAATTTGACATAGACGCCATCTTTGTTTTCTATCACCGACATGTCATTTTGTTAGTTGAATGTTTACCATTGATCGCTATGGAGTTGTATTCAATTGAAGACCGCATTAAAGTTATTCAAGAGCACTACAAAAATGGTGCAAAAATAAAAAACATGTTTCGCGCGCTTCGTGAACATTTCGGTCGCAACAACCGCCCAAACGAAACAACCATCGGTCGTCTGGTGCGTAAATTCGAGGCAACAGGTTCTGTGGCAAATCTGCCAGGCTCTGGCCGGCCAAGGAGCGTTCGCACACCGGAAAATATTGATGTTGTGAAGGAGAGTGTGAGAGACGATCCGAAACAATCAACAACGCGTCGATCCCAAGAATGGGGCATTTCGAGAACCAGTTTGCTCCGCATTCTCCACAAGGATTTGAATGTACACGCCTACAAGATCCAATTGACGCAAGAGCCGCGTCAGGCCGACCCTTTTTTCGCGCCGAACGTTCTCAGATTGGCTCCTTGAACACCGCCAAATTGATGCCAATTTTTCATCAAAAATCATGTTCAGCGACGAAGCGCATTTCACTTTGAATGGGACGGTAAACAAGCAAAACTGCCGCATCTGGGCGAACGAAAATCCCCGTGAGTATCAAGAGCAGCCGATGCATCCTCAAAAAGTGACTGTGTGGTGTGCATTGTGGTCAAAAGGCATCATCGGACCTTACTTTTTCGTCACGTGATGATAGAGGACTATTTTTTGCCGCAACTTGAAGGAATGGATATGGACGATGTTTATTTCCAACAAGACGGTGCAACATGCCACACAACCAACGTCAATATCCATCGATTGCAGTCCTTCTTCGGTGATCGCGTGATTTCGCGCAGAGGAAATGTGCCATGGCCACCAAGATCGTGCGATTTGACTCCCTTGGACTTCTTTTTATGGGGATATTTGAAAAGCAAAGTCTACGTCAACAAACCAGCCACCCTCCAAGAACTCAAAAACAACATCATTGCCAAGATAAATGCCATAGAACCGACCATGTTGCAAAATGTCGTTGAAAATTTCGACCATCGCGAATTGAAAGACCTTTAAAATAAGGTATCACTCGACCCCCCTTTCCATTTAAGATTTTGGAGGTGGTGTCCCCCTCGAAAACAAAATCGAAGGGTCTGAGCGTTGTTCCAAAAAAAAAACTGAGCTTCCAGTAAATGCGTCTGTTTCGTTTTCGATGCGCCACCCTGTATAATAATAAATAGTAACGGCCCTAATTCACTCCCCTGTGGCACCTCTACTGATATATTTTAAACGCTTAAATAATATTTGTGGAGCAATCTACATGGGGAGGTTTTTCCTCATAGTACTCGCGGTGCCCTGGCATTTAGACTTCTGTTTACGTGGCTACTTCTGTGTAAAAAGGTTAACACATCTGCAATGTAAAGAAAAGTCGACATTTTCTAACGTATTTCGATAGGCGGTAATTCAAAAATAGGAGCAAAGAAAGTCTAGCAAAGACAATTGGAAAATGAAGAATTATATCTTTAAATAAACATTAGATAATAACGATTCAAATGTTCCGTTATCTAAATAATTATATGTCTACATAAAATTCTGTCTTATCTTATTCATTAGGCATTAATATGTGCGGCTTGCTGTACGCGTTCAGTGACATAACAATATACAGTGCTGGAGTGAAACTTTCAAAGAAAAAATAAAATAGCTAAGCATATAAAGATATTTGTAAGTAATTGTAAGATTAAGCTATTTTAAACTGTGAAAATCATATATATAAATAGACAATTGAAGTCCGAAACACATTTTTTTTAATTCTAAATAGCCTATTTTAACTTGCGAAAAATAGTATTTTTTACGACATAAAACGGCAATGACTAAATCCTTGTTTCTTTGTACATTATTAATCAAATTCTTTGGCTTCTATTTTTGTGTATCACCTGCTTGTTTGGCTTTGAATAGAGTCGAACTTTTGATTGTCTCGATATTCAGTAAAGTTAGATGAAACACGAGATGAAAGAGAATCAAAACCAATGTTTTTTATTGTGGGTGGCTATAACTGTATACTATTAAGTTGAATTGAATATTTGGTTTTCACCTTGGAGCATTGAAATTGCTTTTTACTTCCTATATCAAAAATTGGCAAGACGGTATTAAGTTCGCGAAGGTCAGTACCAAGAGCGCTGGAGTTTCAACTGGGAGGTAGAATTATTTGCACATATTTTTTCGAACAATCCGTGAATGGTAATGTCTTTCTTGACTTTTTGGACCATCATTTACCGTTGTTGTTGGAAGATGTGCCACTGGAAACACGGCAAAACTTGTTTTTGCAGTTGGATGATTGCCCAGCACATTTTGCTGCTATTGTGCGAAAGTATATTAATGCAGTATTTCAACAGCGGTTGATTGAAAGAGAAAGTCGGTTTCCATGGCCTTCGCAATCACCGGACTTAACTTGTCTTGATTTCCATTTATGGGTACCGTTGAAAGACATCGTGATTCAGACACCGATTTCGGATTTTGAAACGATTTGACATCCCTTTTCTTTGAAATTTCCAACAAAAGCATATTAAGTATAGAATAAATCTAGTTGATGCCATTTTTCAATTCAAGAATATCTATAATATACAGGGTTTTTCAGTTTATTGTTGCATAACTTTAAGATTCGATAGAATTTTTAAAATTAATGCATAAAGTCTATATAAACATGGGTCGAAAAATGCGTGGCTTCCGAAATACAGGGTGTTTAAATTTACTTTTTAAAATAGTTTTTTTTAAATATTTCGAACAATGTTTGATGCATAACAGTGAAAATTGGTATACAAGGGTTTTTTGGTACGACAAAACGAACCATGGGCATAGTTTTACTGTAGCCGCTAGAGGGCGCTCTCTACTGTACCTGTAGTGTATTCAAATGACCGAAAATTTTTTCTTAGTGCAATTTTTTGCTTTTTGAATAAAAAACCTGATTTTTCGCTCTTTTCTGCATAAAAAAGCTCTCCTGTGAGTTTTCGTTATAGTTAGCCGTTTTTGAGAAATTTCGATTTTTAAGGTTCGATGTATTTTTAATTATTTATGGGAAAGTAATATTTTTTTTACATTTTCGATTTGGGAATTACAAGTAATTAAGATGATCGTGTAGATTGTGTTTTTAAACACAGCAATAATTCCTAACTCCAAATAAACACAAAAATCAGAATATTAATTTGTTTAATTTTCCAATATTATTTTTAACAAATTAAATTGATTATTTACAATTAAAATGCTATTGTATAGTTAGGACAAACATACAAAATCCAAAGTAGTTGCTCGAAATGTAAACCCAATTGTTCAATACACAATTCACATCTACGAATGATCGAACGTGGTATAGAATTATTCAAATAAGGCCTTATTTCATCACATGCATTCCTGATTCTGTCTATTAGCATATCTCTTGTGGTTACGGGAGTTTGGTACACTTTTTCTTTTAGAAATCCCCACACAAAGAAATCTAATGGATTTAGGTCAGGGGATCGTGGAGGCCAGGCGACTGGTCCTCCACGGCCGATCCATCTTTCTGGATAATTTTCGTCCAGCCATTTCTAACTATTCTCGAATAATGAGCTGGACAACCATCAAGCTGGAACCAGGCCAATCTTCTTAAATCTAACATAACATCATCCCACATATTTGCATGTTCAGCCTTTAAAAATTCCAAGAAGGTCGCAGCATTTAACCTTGAAGGCAAAAGGTAGGGTCCAAATAGTCGATTACGGTAGATACCAATCCACACGTTCACACTAAATTAATGCTGAAAATTTCTTACCACTCCACGTCTAGTGAAGCATCGGTCCATAAAACGTTACTTAAAAACTCCCTATTATTATCAGTTCTATCAAGAATCCACTGACAAAATGTGATTCTTCGTTCTCCGTCCCCTGGCTGTAGTCCTTGCACAGGTTGCAAATAGTAATGACGTCTATGGTCATTTCTAAGAACACGGTGAACATGGCTTGCTGAAATTCCCAAGGCACCAGAAACTCTCCTAACACTTGTGGTCGGATCTCTATCAAACTCACGCAGAATCATACGGGTAAATCTGCGCTGACGAACATTTATGTTTTGATCCCTTTGGAGATTTCCAAAACCATTTTCAATTATTTGGCGATGCACTCTTACAAATACTGAGCGAGTTGGATGTCGTCTGTTTGGAAATCTTCGTGCGTATTCTCTGGCTGCTTCTGCTGCGTTTCCATTTACAAAGCCATACACAAAATGAAAATCCGCTAACTCTTGATTGGAGAATAAAAATGGCATTTTTATAAAACTTACAAAAAAAAACAGGTAAAAGAAACTAAATTTCGTGCATTCACAATTGCAAAAAAACGTTTCAGGTTTCAACAGACAACAAAACTAACTGTAAACTAATTGACGTTTAACCTTATTCTGCTTTCGATTTCAAAAATATTTGCAGGCACAGCCTACTTCTAAAAATTATCGAGATACTGACTTTTTAACGTTATTTTATCATAAATAATTAAAAATGCATCGAACCTTAAAAATCGAAATATCTCAAAAACGGCTAACTATAACGAAAATTCACAAGAGAGCTTTTTTATGTTGAAAAGTGCAAAGAATCAGTTTTTTTATTCAAAAAGCAAAAAATTGCACTAAGAAATTTTTTTCGGCCATTTTAATACACTACAGGTACACTAGAGGGCGCCCTCTAGCGGCTACAGTAAAACTATGGTTCGTTTTGTCGTACCAAAAAACCCTTGTATACCAATTTTCACTGTTATACATCAAATATTGTTCGAAATATTTAAAAAAAACTATTTTAGAAACTTAAATTTAAACACCCTGTATTTCGGAAGCCACGCATTTTTCGACCCATGTTTACATAGACTTTATACATTAATTTTGAAAGTTCTATCGAATCTTAAAGTTATGCAACAATAAACTGAAACACCCTAAATAGAAACATATTAAAACGATTTCGTCTTCTTAAATATCACGACACGCGAATGTTACACCACTGATTTCAAAGGTTAATTCCAAAGTTTGTTTATGTATTTAAGCATTCGAGGAACAATGCATATTATCTTTCAGATTCCTAAAAGAGTAGCCTTAAAGTGTAATGTGATTGCGTCCTGGAAGCATCACGACAGGGTGTTCTACAGCAGCTTTCGAACCATGACGCAAAATAAAAAATTCAAATTCGCTATTGATAGAGGAGGTACTTTCACGGACGTATTCGCAAAATGCCCCGACGGAAGAGTGCGAGTATTGAAACTACTATCGGAAGATCCCCAGCACTATAAGGATGCGCCTGCAGAGGGAATCAGAAGAATTCTACAGGAGGTGAGTTGGAAAGATGTCTTTATGCAGCGTGTTTCAAATTCGACCCTCAGCGTTGGAATCTCATTTAGATTACTTTCTTTGGGCTCATTTGGAAAGTAAAGTTTTTAGTACGAGGTAAATGCACTTATTACTACATTGATCTACCTCTTTATATCAGTTTTTACTTTAACTTTGATGTGCGTGTACAGTTTTTTTATGTTTTTTAATACTCGGAGACTCTATTGATCTTTAGTTTTACGTTACAATCCCTAGAATTTTTTTATAAACTCAAATAGCTTCACAGCGATTGAAGATAGGTATGAACTTTATTATTCAAAAGTTACTAAACACTTCTTCGAGTATCGATGAGCCTAATGGAGACCTTCTACCGACCACTATCTGCCATAGGTGTCCCAACAGTCTTTGCGAAGTTGAGTTCCTGCCTGAAGATGTATTAATGCGCCTGCGAAATCTGAAGACCTCTTCCTCCCCTGGTAAAGATGGGATGACGGCTGCTGTACTTAAAAACTGCGCTTCAGCACTGGCCCTACCATTAAGCTTGATATTCACATCGTCTTTTAGATCTCATACCCTACCCTCATGCTGGCTTAGTGCTTCTGTTACCCCTGTATTCAAAAAGGGCGACAAATTCTCCGCTAAAAATTATCGACCAATAAGTCTCGTTCCTATCGCCGCCAAAATAGCTGAAAGAATCATATTAGATAAGCTCCAGTCATTTGCTTTCGAAAATGACCTTATCCCTAAGAATCAGCATGGATTTCTCCCTGGTCGGTCAATAATGACCAACCTTCTCCACTCTCTCAACGATTGGACTCAGTATCTGGACACAAAGACTCCTGTTGATATAATCTACTTAGACCTTTCTAGGGCTTTCGATCGCGTACCACATAGAAGGCTTCTGTTTAAGTTGGAATGTATGGCAATAAGAGGCGAGTTGTTACTGTGGATTAAGGCTTTTCTCACCGGGAGGACTTTCTCTGTGCGCGTCAGTGATAGCCAGTCTCACTTTCATCATGTAGCAAGTGGAGTTCCTCAAGGCTCTGTCTTGGGGCCAGTGCTGTTCCTTCTGTATACAAGTGACCTGCCCGCATTGATTTCCTCCACATGTTCAGCTTATGCCGACGACACCAAGATTTACAATACTGTCGTAAATTCTGCTATGCTTCAACGAGATCTTGATATTGTTTGTCAATGGTCAGTCAGTTGGCTTTTACCCTTAAATCTAACTAAGTGTTGTGTCCTTCACCTCGGGAAGACAAATCCGCGATTTACATACAAGATCTCTGACCACAACATCGAAGCAGTTTCGAGCCACACTGATCTGGGCGTTGTAGTCAACGATCGTCTTTCCTGGTCAGAGCATATTCACCACGTTACATCAAAAGCCAAGAAACTTCTATATATGCTGGAGAGGTCTTTCAAAGGATCCGATGTCAACACTTCCGCCTACATTTACAAGGCATTCGTGAGACCAATTCTTGAATTCGCTGGCCCGGTATGGGACACTGTGCTTCTGCGCGATAGAAATCTCGTCGAATCAGTACAGCGTCGGGCTACTCGTATCCCTTTTGGAGCACGAAGACCAAGCTATGAAGATCGCCTTGAATTATTCAACCTGACCTCATTCTCTGAGCGAAGACTTCGTGGCGATCTTATAGTTACGTTCAGGATACTTCATGGTTTGATGGGCACCAACCTCATGCATCTATACCATCTGTAGCGCAGCAATCTACGCGGACACAGCTTCAAACTGCATAAGGAGCCATTTAAAACAACAGTCCGACAGTGGTTTCTTCCCAACCGCATACTCAACACTTGGAATAGTTTACCTGAAAGTGTGGTTGGTGCTTCTTCAGTTAATAGCTTCAAAGTGCAGTATGATAGCTGGAGGAGTGTACAAACTTTATAGCTATGAACTGTATTTTCTTATTTTTTTCTATTTGATGTATTTGTGTTACGTGTCCGTACACTATATTTACTGCATGAGCTTATAGTACTGTGTACTCTGCTCATCTCAATTATCATAATAATAATAATAATAATAATAATAATAATAATAATAATCTAAACATTAAAAAAATTAGGGTTTCTATTTAAAAATGTAAAGTGTAACGCAATATCTTATTTTTGGATCACCCTGTATTGTACGGCTATAGATGAAAATAACGGGTGATTTTTTAAGAGGTATAGGATTTGATTTTCAAAAAAAAAAACACAAACAATTTGAAAAAACGATTAAATCTTTATTTGAGTCGATAAAACGGTCGATATAATTTAATGTTTAAAGATTATTTCATGTAAATTTTGGCCGCGGCTCCGCTTTAGATGGCTATGCGCAAGGTCCAATTTTGGCACACTCTCTCCAACATATCGGCCGGTATCTCACGAATAAATGCTTTAATATTATCTTACAGTGCGTGAATCGTTGCTGGTTTATCACTGTAGACATTAGCCTTAACATGGCCCCACAAGAAATAGTCCAACGGCGTTAAATCACACGATCTAGGCGGCCAATTACGGGCCCCAAACGTGAGATAAACTATTCACCGAACTCGCCTCTCAATAGGGCCATTGTTTCGTGTGCGGTGTGGCATGTGGCACCGTCTTGTTGAAACCACATGTCAGCCAAGTCCAGCTCTTCCATTTTGGGCAAAGAAAAGTTTGTTATCATCGCACGGTAGCGCTCGCCATTCGCAGTTACGTTCCGGCCATTGTCGTCTTGAAGAAGTACGGCCCGATGATGCCACCGGCCCATAATCCACAACAAACAGTGATTTTTTCGGGATGCATTGGTAGCTCTTGCAATGCTTCTGGCTGGTCTTCACTCCAGATGCGGCAATTTCGCTTGTTAACGCACCCATTCAACCAGAAATGAGCTTCGTCGCTGAACACAATTTTTCGATAAAAATGTGGATCTTCCTCCAACTTTGCCAGCGCCCATTCACCAAATTGGAAACGTGGTGGGAGGTCATGTGGCTTCAATTCTTACACCAGCTGTTCTTATAAGGTTTTACACCCAAATCGTGTCGCAAAATTTTCCACGTAGTGGAGTAAGAGAGGCTCAATTGCTGCGAACGACGGCGAATCGACATTACAAGGTCATCACTAACACTGGCGGATACAGCCGCAATATTTTCTTCAGTCCTCACTCTACGTCTGCGTGTTGGTGGTTTAATGTCCAATAATGTAACCTGGGTTCGAAATTTAGTCACAAGCTTCCGAATAGCTCCCCCAGTAGGCCGACCAAATTGCCCATAAATTGGAAGCAGTGCTCGATGCACTCTCTTAACCGAGCATGAATTTTGATAGTAAAATTCAATAATTTGCAAGCGTTGTTCGTTCGTAAGTCGATTCATGGTTAAATTATAGACCAAACTGAACAAGTTTGACAATGACTCAAGACACGATTCACGCGTCATCTGTCAAAAACAGTGTTGCCAAAAAGATACCAGCAAAAAAATCACCCATTACGTCCCACTAGAAATCAAAATTGACGTGTCCGAGAGTTTTTCCCAAAATATACCAGGAGAGTCACAAATGAAGGTGTGACCTTGTATGTTATTTATTATAGTCTTACCCCTTATGCCATTCATTTACTGATTGACCTCAGTTTGTAATAATTTTTTCTTTTATACTTTTTATTATCACCCTTTTAATCATATGTAGGGCTATTTGTTGTTTGTCTAGGGGTTTAGGGGTTGGAAATCACGAGTCCGTGGATACAGATGAATGATGGCCGTCTATTGATTAAGTACACGATATTGAATGAGTGTATATAACGTCGTCTGCGTCTAAGTTCACGTCTTTTCTGTGTGTCTTTCTTGATCGGCGGCTGAGTACAGACTGCCCGACGTTGTCAGCCGTCAAAACGTGAGGCGCTTGCGCGGTTGGCTTCTCTATTGTTCTAGAAGGCTTTCTAGTTCAGTGGCGTAGGCAGCGCAAAGGCAATATTGACTTGTAAGCACGATTTGTGTTCTAATAAATAAACCATTATTATTATTATTATTTTTCTTATTATAAGGATAAGTATAACTCAAAATATAATTTTTTATCGCAGGAAACTGGAAAATCTTTAGACAAGGACGGTCATATCGACAATTCAATGATTGAATGGATAAGAATGGGAACAACTGTGGCAACTAACGCTCTCTTAGAACGAAAGGGTGAAAAAATGGCTTTCGTGACGAACAAAGGCTTCAGAGACATCTTGATAATTGGAAATCAGGCTCGACCAAAAATATTTGAGCTAGTAGGTGACCTAACAATCAAATAGAAAATACATCAGAAATAAAGCGTCACGAAGAAGTAGTTGAAGTTTGAAATACAATTTTGTAAATATATACTGAGTGACATAAAAAAATTGCGATACATTCGCAAAATCCGTCTCACTGGAGAAGGCTTTCTTCGAGAGTTTTTGATTACTTTTTAGTGGAGCTAGAAATGATCCTTTACAACTTTGGATAGTTTTTTTTACTGGACGTTTTATTCCAGACCAGAGACAAAGTTTATTATTTGCTGTTAAACTTCGTTTATTCCAGAATATCAGACGTCCAGACATTCTTTACTCAGAGATCGTAGAAGTGGATTGCCGAGTCATACCTGCCATGGAAGGCCAATGTCAACTAGGAAAATTGTCTGAAGATTGGCCCGTGGTGCAAGGCAAAACAGGAGAAAGATATTTAGTGACCAGGTCACCTAACAAGGAAGAAATAAGAAGGAACTTGGTGAAACTAAAGGAGAAAGGGATTAATAGTATATCAGTTGCGCTAGCTCACAGTTACAGTTATTTTGAGCACGAAGTGATCGTTGGAGATATAGCAAAAGAATTAGGTATGTTCACGGATCGATACTGAAAAAAATGGAACATATCAGCTTATGCGTATAACGTATATTTCTTCAATAGACATGGTCTTTTGGAGTTCGACAATAAAACTTCAACATCTTATCCGCCGGGAAAGAACCACCTACATATTTAAATGCCTTTTCAGACTATTCTTTGCTGTATTAGAAAAGCTGCATTTATTTTTCAATCACGTTATATACAAGAGGTATGGTAAAAGTTGATATTGAATTTGACTTTGAACATGACCTTGAAGGTCAGATAAGTGTCAAGACAATTTTGCTTAAACGGGACCCCGGTAACGGATAGAGTGAACACTTTCACTTTCAGATATGACCTTGTGTGAACATTAATTTGACCTTGAACGTCCAAAAATAACATTTTCCGTTCTATTTCTTTCCGGAATCTAAGATTGGCATGCAAAAAATTGTCTAGACCTTGATTTCACCGTCAAGGTCACTTTCAAGGACACTAGAGAGAAGCCAGGTCCAAAGTCAAAGTTGTTGCCGTGAGGTTATTATTTTTTATTTATTTTCATTGCAATTCTTAAAATTTTCTCAAAATAAGAACCATGACCTAGACCTTTATCCCTGTTCCAGAAAATTGTTTTGTTCTTGACTTAACCGGTCAGTTCACAGTCAGTGTTAGTTTCCAGCTCGCCAATGAATAACGAAGGAGGAGTCTCTTATCATTTTTATGTCTTTATTCCTTTTCCATGGAGAACATCTCTAAAATCTTTTAGAATGACCTTGATCAGGACGTTCAAGGTCAAACTAATGTTGACCCAAGGTCATGTGTGAACGTAACATTTTCCGCTATATTGGTTTTTGGAGGCAAAAGCATAGGGTCCAAAAAAAACTCTTGACCTTGAATTGAGCTTGAGGATCATAGCAAAGGTCAGTTTCAAGGTCAGTAGAGGTAAGCCAGGAAAGAAGTCCAAGTCAGTTGCCTTGAGGTTCTTATTTTTGATTTACTTTCCAAGAGATCCTTGGATCTTTTCAAACGAAGGCTTTTTTCACGGCGACCATGACCAGGACCTTTAAGGTCAAAATAATTTTCACGTAAGATCATATTTGAACGACTATTTTTAGATGTATCAGTTTCTGGGGTTAAAGGTATTAGGTACCATGCAAAAAATGTCTGGATTTTAAATTGACCGTCAAGGTCATGATAAAGGTCAGTTTCAAGGTCACTAGAGGGAACGCAGGGGAAAACGTTAAAGTCTGTGACCTTCTTTTTGCTTTATTTTCGGAAAGAAGAAAATCTCATCGATAGAAGTTTTTTCACGGTGACCATGACAAAGACCCTCAAGGTCAAAATAATGTTTACCAAGGTCACCTGTGAACGTAATATTTTCCGCTATATTGGTTTTTGGAGGCAAAAGCATAGGGTCCCAAAAAACCTCTTGACCTTGAATTGAGCTTGAGGATCATAGCAAAGGTCAGTTTCAAGGTCAGTAGAGGTATGCCAGGAAAGAAGTCCAAGTCAGTTGCCTTGAGGTTTTTATTATTGATTTACTTTCCAAGAGATCCTTGGATCTTTCCAAATGAAGGCTATTTTCACGGCGACCATGACCAGGACCTTTAAGGTTAAAATAATTTTCACTTGAGATCATATTTGATATTTTTAGATGTATCAGTTTCTGGGGTTAAAGGTATTAGGTACCATGCAAAAAATGTCTATATCTTGAATTGACCGACAAGGACATGATAAAGGTCAGTTTCAAGGTCACTAGAGGGAATGCAGGGGAAAAAGTTGCTTTATTTTCGGAAAGAAGAAAATCTAATCGATAGAAGTTTTTTCACAGTGACCATGACAAAGACCCTCAAGGTCAAAATAATGTTTACCCAAGGTCACCTGTGAACGTAATTTTTTCCGCTATATTGGTTTCGGAAGGAAAAAGCATAGGGCCCTAAAAATGTTTCGACCTTGATTTGACTTTCAAGGTCATAAAAAGCTCAGTTCCGAGGTCATTAGATGGAAGCCAAGGCATAAGTCCAAGTCTGTTGAATTGAGGTTCTTATTTTCGATTCATTTTCAGAGAGATCCTTAAAATCTTCTCAAACGAAGGTTTTTTTCATGGCGACCAAGACTAAGACCTTTAAAGTTAAAACAATTTTCACGTAACATCATATTTGAACGATAATTTTTCGCTTTATCAGTTTCTTAGGTCAAGGTTATAAGGTACCATGCAAAAAATTGTCTAGACTTTCAGTTGAACGTCAAGGTTATGATAAAGGTCAGTTTCAAGGTCACTAGAGGGGAGTGATCGAAAAAATTAAACTCTGTCGCCTTGAGATCATATTTGAATGACTATTTTTGGATGTATCAGTTTCTGTGGTAAAAGGTATTAGGTGCCATGCAAAAAATGTCTAGATCTTAAATTGATCGTCAAGGTCATGACAAAGGTCAGTTTCAGGGTCACTAGAGGGAACGCAGGGGAAAAAGTTCAAGTCTGTGGCCTTCTCTTTGTTTTATTTTCGTAAAGAAGAAAATCTCATCGATAGAAGTTTTTTTCACAGTGACCATGACAAAGACCCTCAAGGTCAAAATAATGTTTACCCAAGGTCACCTGTGAACGTAATATTGACCGCTATATTGGTTTCGGAAGGTAAAAGCATAGGGCCCTAAAAATGTTTCGACCTTGATTTGACTTTCAAGGTCATAAAAAGCTCAGTTCCGAGGTCATTAGACGGAAGCCAAGGAATAAGTCCAAGTCTGTTGCCTTGAGGTACTTATTTTCGATTTATTTTCACAGAAATCCTTAAAATCTTCTCAAACGAAGGTTTTTTTTATGGCGACCAAGACTAAGACCTTTAAAGTTAAAACAATTTTCACGTAACATCATATTTGAACGATAATTTTTCGCTTTATCAGTTTCTTAGGTCAAGGTTATAAGGTACCATGCAAAAAATTGTCTACACTTTCAGTTGACCGTCAAGGTTATGATAAAGGTCAGTTTCAAGGTCACTAGAGGGGAGTGATCGAAAAAATTAAACACTGTCGCCTTGAGATCATATTTGAACGACTATTTTTGGATGTATCAGTTTCTGTGGTAAAAGGTATTAGGTACCATGCAAAAAAGATCTTAAATTGATCGTCAAGGTCATGACAAAGGTCAGTTTCAGGGTCACTAGAGGGAACGCAGGGGAAAAAGTTCAAGTCTGTGGCCTTCTTTTTGTTTTATTTTCGTAAAGAAGAAAATCTCATCGATAGAAGTTTTTTTCACAGTGACCATGACAAAGACCCTCAAGGTCAAAATAATGTTTACCAAGGTCACCTGTGAACGTAATATTTTCCGCTATATTGGTTTCGGAAGGTGAAAGCATAGGGCCCTAAAAATGTTTCGACCTTGATTTGACTTTCAAGGTCATAAAAAGGTCAGTTCCGAGGTCATTAGGCCTTGAGGTAATTATTTTTGATTTATTTTCAGAGAGATTCTTGAAATCTTCTCAGACGAAGGTTTTTTTTCATGGCGACCAAGACTAAGACATTTAAGGTCAAAACAATTTTCACGCAAGATCATATTTGAACGATAATTTTGCGCTTTATCAGTTTCTTAGGCCAAGGGTATAAGGTGCCGTGCAAAAAATTGTCTAGACTTTGAATTGACCGTCAAGGTTATGATGAAGGTGAGTTTCAAGGTCACTAGAGGGGAGCGATCGAAAACATTCTAGTCTGACATCTTGAGACTCTTATTTTCGATTTATTTTAAAAAAATCCTTAAAATTTTTCAAATGGAGGTTTCTGCATGGCGCCTATGGCCAAGACCGTTAAGGTCAACATAATTTTCACACAAGATCATCGTTGGACGACAATTTCCTGCCCTATCAGGTTCCGGAGTCAAAAGTATAGAATACTAAAAAATTGTATTGACTTTGATTTGACTGTCTAGTATCTAGTTTAAAGTGAAGGTCAGTTTCCAGCTCACCAGTAAAAAACCAGGGCAGAATTGAATTCTCTATCGTCTTCAAGTCTTTATTCCTTTTTATTAAAGACGGCTTTATCGGGACATTGAAGGTCAAAATAATTCCAGGGTTACGCGTGAACGTAATGTTTTGCGCTCTATACATCGGCGGAGTCAGAAGAGTAGGGTTCCATTAAAAAAATCACATTGACCTTGATTTGATCTTCAAGGTCATGATCAAGGTTACACTTAAGGTCAGCACTGAATGGCCAGGGAAAATACCTTAATCCCTACACTTTCACTGTAATACCTTGCCGTTTTGGATCACCATTTATGAAACTATTTATTCAACAATGAATAAAATTTTCAAGGACTTTATGCAACAGATGTATGTCCTCTCCTCTAACTTCCTCTTATTCTCATTCCTTAACAATGTCTGCTTCATTTGACACAAGGACAAAAGCCTTGCTCCTATGGACGGCTTTAACTAACGATGACTTGATATGATTGGTTAAAGACAAGTTGAATGTTATGGTTGGAATAATTTGACAAAAACTTGTAGGTTTCAAACATGTTTCGCTGTCCCACCAAGTCATCCCCATGGTACGACTGGTGCCAAGAGCTTACACATCTTGCGCGGATGCCTATCTCACCCCTCACGTGAAGAGATACGCGGACGGGTTTTCGTCAGCTTTCAAGAATAACCTTCAAGGGACCAGAGTTCTCTTTATGCAGAGCGATGGTGGTCTAACGCCGATGGAGAATTTCAATGGCGCCAGAGCTGTTCTTTCCGGACCAGCTGGGGGGGTAAGTACACCGCAGAATTTCCAAAGGCCGTGAAGATCAATATGTTATAACTACAGTATATTCAGATAAGAGATAGACCGGACATAAACAAGACCACGTGATCATCGAACGCTGTAACATTCAGCAGGGACGTATTAAGAGTCACGCAGTACATATTTTAGATAGTAGATGCTGCTTTGCGTAACTTTGTAGTAAATTAGCACAATTCGATGTGTATACGATTGGTGATGGATATAGGATCATGTGGGGGTGGGGTAAGAAATATATAGTGATGTAAATATACATTTTTCAAAATTTTCGCTTCGATTTCCAGCTTCGGATGCCGCCTGATGTTTGGTGAAATACAGTCGAATATAATCTCAAAATGGCGTTTAAATTAGCCTAAATTAAAAATAATCGTATATCTCTTAAAATTGCTTTTAGAATATTGATTAGTATATTTTTTGATTTCTAGGTAAATATGTAACCAAATTAAAACGTTCAAAACGTAAAAAAATGTGCATGGTTGAACATTGTCAGAAAGTAGATTCTTGAATAGGTTTTGCCAAAATGGGTTCAAAAATGTCAATAATTAATTAAAAAATACAGTAGCTTTATAATTACTTATAACTTACCGAATTTGATGAACGACATCTTTTATTGGAAAGATGAGCTTGATGAGCTTTCATCATCGCTACTGCCTGAAGCACCAACGTCAATAATGAATGGCTCGACTTGTTCCTCTAAAATATTGTCCAGTTCCCACATGCTCTTTTCAACTTTGTCTTTCACGTGCTTAATACAGTTTTCCCATTTTTGCGCTGTTATTAATTCTAGTGCTTCTTTGAAAAGTCCTTTGAGGTCACAAAATTTAAAAGTTGTATCGTGCTTAGCTATATAATTTTTAACCTCTGCCCATATGAGCTCAATGGGATTGAGCTCGCAATGGTATGGAGGTAAACGGAGCACAGTTTTATTTTGACTTGCTGCCATTTCGTCAATGGCGTATTTTTGATATTCCGCCTTGTGATCCTTGACAATTCTTAATAATTGTACTTTCAGCATTGCTTCTTCAAAGTTGATATTTTTCGAGCGGAGCCAATTTTGAACATCAACTTTCCTTGAAGCCGTTTTCTTCGAGAATGATAAGGCGCATTATCCAACACAATTACTGCGTTTTCCTCTAAGTTCGGTAAATTTTTTGAAAACCAGTGTTCAAACGATTCGCCATTCATTTCCTCGTGGTAATCTCCAGTTTTCTTAGACTTAAAGCACCACAGACCGTCAACAACAAATCCATCCTCACTGCCAACATGGCAGATAATGAGCCTTTTCCCTTTACCTGGAAATCGAAGTACTAACTGGTTTAGATTTATTTCAATAAGCGAACCTTTTTCAAATGTTTTCATCACATTCAGCGAAAAAACATTGAGACATGAGTATCAGATTGCTATAATTGGGATTATTTAGTCATATTGAAAGAAAGAATATTGAACGTCGTATGATTACTCAGCGCTTCACAATTTAATTTAAAGTTATAAACCTTTAAAAAATGAATGATCAGGAACCTGAAATACGCGCAAATATTAATATTAACAAGTTATAACTTTATAAAGCTTAAAGTATGAATTAAAATGATTAGAAATATTAGGAACGGTACACAATATAAAACTTAGTAACTTTTTTTAAGTTTATAATATTCGACATATTTTAAGATTATATTAAAAAATTATTGAAATATCGAAAGCACATAAAAACATGGCTTAAAAAAGTTCTAACAAATGAAAATGACAATAAAACATCCACGCATTTTATCGAAAGTTATAAAAGTTTTGTTACTTGTAATATGTTTTATCTGCCCCCTGGAAATAATGTTTAGAACCTTGTTCCCAAGGTTTGAAAAACATCCGATTGTTGTCTATTACTCGTATTTACCTGCTGGATTTTTTAATCCGGTGGACAGTCCATCTAGAAAGGCCCTCCTGGATGAAGTTACAGAATCATCAACCCATACTTTACTTGTAGTGTGTCCTGCGTTTACAAGGTAATAAATCTTCCTGTTTTGATTTCTATATTTCCCAATTTTTGTTAAATAATCCCTCCTCCGTAGCACAATTTCTTCTCTATCCAGTAGTAAACTATTACGACCCCGTTTTTTCCATTTGAAATTTAAATGCTTCAGTAACGCATGCAGTAATTTATCTATAGTAGGTATTTCATTCCTAAAGAAGAATTCATGCACTTTCCTCCTAATCGCATGCTTATCAGCTTCATCCAATGATTTAACAATACTTTTGCGATGTTTACTGGTCATTGGCTCAGAAAAAGTGTGATTTTTTTTGTATTGTCTTAACACATTAAACACTGATGCGCGACACACCCCAACTTTGTGAGAAACCTTCACAACAATTTCTTTGATGGTTGATGCCTCGTTCTCCTCGCGCTCGATCTTATATATATTCAAAATGACCTCTTTCATTTCTGCACTCAGGTGTCTTTTTTTTGAGCGTTTCCTAGGTGGACTACAGGAGTTTACAACTTCATCGGCAGTATCTGTACTACTGGGCATTTTGCGCAAGCAGTTGATAACAATAACAATCAATAACAAGGTATAACAATAACAACGACAAACTCAACAACTTAATAAGATAACAAACGAAAACGTCCAAAGAAATATCAAATTGCAATGATGCACACGACATACGTAACACGTCTGAACCTGAATGTGACTCTGCCTTGATACGACTGCTCTGCCGCTCGGCATAGGCATTTAATTGCGAATTGACCAATGAGGGCTCCTGTTTTACGTCGAGACGGCGGCGTTAGCGTGAAAATCACCCGAACCTTTTGTTTACATCCGGTCTATCTCTTATCTGAATATACTGGAATATTTTTTACAGTAAATAAGACCAAGAGATGTTTTATTGTTGTTCCTGTCATTTTCTTGCATCTGCCGGGAAAGGGGTATTGCATTACTTGAGATGTATGCAAAGCTAGAAATTAGTTGCGCATCCATTTATTTACCCTAGAAATTACATACAGGGTGTTCATCTGAAAACCTCCCACCACAGACTTATCGATAACCACTGATTCAAAGGACATATTTCTGATTCATCGCACTTTGAGAATCGTTGCATTTAAAATAGTACTGGTTGAAATTTTCTGTTAGGTAGTAGGGTATGCAGTGACAACATGGCAAAAAGAAACTGACCTCCCGGTGATCGGCTTTGACATGGGCGGCACCTCCACGGATGTTTCAAGGTTTGCCGGTAATTATGAACATGTTTATGAGAGCACTACCGCTGGGGTGATTATCCAGGCGCCACAATTGGACGTCAATACAGTAGCTGCTGGTGGAGGATCTATGCTTTTTTTCAGGTAAAGTTTGACTGTGCAAAACTGGATAGCTGTTGCTGCAAATGCAGTGCTATATAAAATATATAACTGACATTTTCGTTCTACGTGCGAAAATACTACTATTGAAATATTGAATGTTTTTTGCAATCAGGAATCTGTGTGGTCATTTCATTAACAATCGTTATCATTCAAGCATTCATCAATTTTTTTTTTAATTTTTAGGCTTTTTGTGAAATTGACGAAATAAGCACATTTTGGGCGTATGGGGCCGTTCAAGTATTACGTGAGCACTATGGGGGGCGGGGGGAGTCTTTGCTTTGCTTATTTTGGATGACATGGGGGGTAGGGGAGTCTAGATAATGATTACAACATCGGTAGTTATTTACTTTTTACACGAATGGCAACCCTCACACTGTCTTTGCTTGAAAACGATACGGGGATTCCCGCAAATAATGCATACGTTTAGTGAACAGCGTGCGGTAATTCCCCTACTCGCTTTAGAAGAAGTTTTAAAAAATCCCATACAAGTACGAAAGTACAAAATGTACAAAAGTTAGTTAACGAAGTGTGGCGAAATTACAAATTACAAGCAAAATCCGACAAGAAACTAGATATTATTGTATCTAAGAGAATCGAAGAAGAATTGCAAGCGGCGACTAAGAATAAATCCAATCTACAAAATTTTTTTCTAAGGTGTGTGACGAAATCATTTTTATAAGTACCGTCGATTGGGGTGACATTGATCTCAAGGGGCGAGTTTGATCACCAGATCATTTTCTCATAGATTTGAATTTAGCGCCAGAACTAGAGAACCATTCACAGCGAAAGCTATTGTGTGCGTCAGAGGAAACATGGCTGGAGATACGGTATGCGTATAAACAAGCGGTGCAGTTTATTTCATGTAAAAAGTCAGTGTTTTTGAAGGTGTCGGTTTTGGCTCATAGAATAACTATCTGAAAATTTGCCAGGTAAGTTAAAATGCTGATGTGTATTTTTGTTTGCGTCATACTATGCATGTTTGTTGATATTTTGAGGTTATGGTGTAGTCGAGCGGGAATGAACAGTGGCGTGCTTTTCATAATATTGAGATATTTAATGGTTGGGGTCAGATTGTTCGCATAGACGGGGCGAGATTGATCAACTTTCAGTGATCAATCACACCATATATAAAAATATGAGTACATTTTTTTGTATTGTTAATAAAATTATGATTGGATTCAGCTATAATTTTATTGTTTCTTCCAGTTGATGAATACTAATCATGCCGAGGAATTATAAAAGAAGACTTGGATCACTCCATTACGTGGATTATGCCCCAGAGATCCTAGAAGCTGCTCTCAAAAAGATGGTAGAAGATGTATGGTCCCTCCGTCAAGCATCGGATGCACATAATATCCCTTTTGGTACCCTTCGGAATAAGTATATGGGAATCAGAACTCTAAAATCTGAAGGTCAAACAGTTTTTTCAAATGCGGAAGAGCTTGCCTTCGTAAAAGCAGTAACTATCTGTTCAGATTGGGGATTCCCACTTACGCTTACTGATTTGCGCTGTATAGCTAAAAGCTATCTGGATAGTCAGGGTCGCAATATTGGAAAGTTTAGAGCAAACATGCCTGGAACAGATTGGGCTCGTTCTTTCTTACAACGACATAAGAAAGATATTCGTCAAAAAGTTGCATCGAACATCAAGAGAGCTCGGGCCAATGTTTCAAGGGAAGATATAGTCCATTATTTTGAAAATTTGAGTGAAACATTAAAGGACATCCCAGCTTGTAATATATTCAACTATGATGAAACAAATGTGCAGGATGATCCCGGAAAACAAAAAATTCTGTTTCGGCGCGGCACAAAGTACCCTGAAAGGATATGCAACTTTACCAAAACTGCTACTACCATAATGATGTGCGGGTCGGCTTCTGGTGTGCTGCTTCCATACGTTATTTATAAGGCTGAGAAAATGTGGAAGCAGTGGATTGAGCTCGGTCCCAAGGGCGAGCCTTGCTGCAACAATAGATGCTGCAGTGTCGGCTCGCGATATAATCGGACCCAACATGGATGGATGGACGCTCAAACGTTTACAGATTGGTTTGAATCAGCTTTCCTTCCTCATGCAAAATCTCTTCCTGGTCGGAAAGTGTTAATTGGAGACAACCTGTCTTCCCATTTCACAGAAAGCGTTTTAAGACAGTGTAGAGAAAACGATGTCGCTTTCGTTTGCCTCCCAAAGTGTTCGACCAATCTCACTCAGCCATTAGATGTCGGATTTTATCGTCCTTTTAAGATAGCTTGGAGGTCTTCCCTAACAAAATGGAAGAACACTCATCTTCATCAATCTACTCTGGATAAAAATGATTTTCCCAGTCTATTAGCTTCTACTCTTGTAGAAACGAACCAAAAACATAACAATGCTATAAAGGAAGACTTGATAAGTTCATTTCGTGCAACTGGTATAGCTCCTCTGGATGCTGAACGGGTTCTGCGAAAAATTCCAAGCCAAACTACTGATACGAATACTGAAGATGCGCTGGGCAACGTAGGATATCTGCAACAGCAGCGATTCACGGTAGGGCCATCAAGAAGGAATATGAGGCGTCAAAAGCTGTCTGTAGACTCTGGGAAAAGTGTTGTTCCAAATGAAGAATCGAGTGACTCGGAAACAAACGACGATCCTCATACTAATGATAGCTCCAGTGAAAACTCATTAGATACCATCGCCGAACCGGAAACCGAATACATTGAACCTAAGACAAAGAGATATATTTCCTGGCAAATTTCTTCTAGTTAAAGTATGTGGTGGATCAAGAAAAAAACAGTTTATCGATATATTGCCGTTGTGCAAAATGTGACCGAGAATCAAAATGTTCGAGAATTCGAGGTGTTGGGATTAACGTCTATAGATGGATCTAAAAATAAGTTTAAAGCTCAAGATGGCGACGAATTTATAGTGGATTTTCCAGACATAGTAGCTGTGTTGCCGGATCCTGTCATCGAAAATTCAGATGGCCTTATCACCTATCGTTTTGATAATATGATAGATATATTCGAAATGTAGTTTTTCTTTTTTATATTCTACCTCAACTGTTAGGATACTTATTTAAATTACTTGTATTAGTTATAGATATGGGTAAGCACCTAATTCAATATGTGAAAATAGTTTTTTGTGAGTTACCTGGAAAAATAAATGTAGTTTATTATCCAAATAGGTGTTTTCAGCAATTATTTATTGGAATATGTAGAGTAAAATAAAGTTGATCAATCTCACCCATAGTGAACAATCTCACCCCACCTACATTAAAATGCTGTAGTTCTGTAACCAGTAGAAATATAATAACCAGAGTTGAGATCGTTTATTTAGGAGCCTGTACGCTCATTTTGCACGCGATTAATACTACGTGAACAATCTCGCCCCAAAACACGTATGAGATTGATCAGCCCTTTTTGAATTCGTTATGGTCATAGTTTCAAACATTGGGGTTCTTTGCACCTACTGTGCGATTCTTGCTCATAATATGTAACAGATTCAATCATCATAGCCAAATAAAATTGTGACATAACAAAAATTATGCGAATAATCTGAATATTTTGATCAATTTAACCCCAAATGACGGTACTAGAAATATTAGATATTGCCAAAAAGTTTTTCTTTACTGATTAGAAAATATTATGGCCTATCTCAAAGTATAGAGGTAATATTCATTATATAATAGATTTATTTCTTATGATTGATTCCGTCAATTGGTCACAAAGTACAGGATGTTAGTTTTATACATATACAGGGTTATCCAAATTAAGTGTCCACCATTAGTAACTTTGTTATTAGTGAAAATACAAAGTTGTTTGAATTAGCAAACTAGTAGCATTTTTAACGCTGGTAAAAATGAGAAATAAAAAAAAACAATTGAGAGTCGTTATTTTGATTTTTTTCAGTAAAATAACATTTTTTTAAATGGAAACCCCTGTATATTATATTTTTTCTGTTAAAGCATCAAATTTTAAACAAAAAAGTTCATAATGACTTTTCCGCTAAAGTCAAAAATAAAGTCAAAATAATGATAAATATTTTTAATTATTTGCAGTATTATAATATTAAGACGGCTATGAAAACAACATGGCGTTCGCGATTTGACAGCATTAAGATAAGCGACAAATTGTTAAACTGGACATACTCGCAACTAGAAGGCTTTGGAAAACAATGATAAAATCAAATAATGTCAAACATTAGTGTAAATACTTGTTTACAAGCTTTATTGTGTCATTAATTTAAAGAAAAATATTCTCCCATGAAGAAAAGTGTGCTATGTTAGAATGCTATTTAGTGTGCAGAAAATCCTCCTTGAGAGCAAGAGACAGTGAATTATATCCCGCTCGCATTCAACCGTATGAACGATATTTTCTGAGACTTTATCGAAAATTTAGGGGCAACGAAAATGTTTTTGCTAAAACAAGGGCAAAAAAAGAATTCATAATAAGCGAGGCCACGGAAATTGCAGTTATTGGATATTTAGAAGCTTATCGTGAGAATTCAATAGCAGATATTCTCAAGGACTCTAATTTCAGTTATGGTACTGTTCAAAGGATTTTAAAAAAATACAAATTTATTCCGTATAAGTACCGACCAGTTCAAACGCTTTTGGCAGGGGATCCAGAGAGAAGACTTGTTTTTTGCCATTGGTATCTTAGCTTCTGTCGCCAAAATGTAAATAACTTTCGTTACCTTTTATGGACAGATGAATCAAATTTTTCAAATTCTGGAATGTTTAATAGAAAAAACCACCATTATTGGTCAAGAGAAAATATTTTGTTAGTACATCCAAGAGGCCCACAAGTCCGTTTCAGTTTCAACGTTTGGTGCGGTATAATTGGTTCAAAAATTGTTGGCCCGTTCTTTTATGAGGGAACCCTAACTGGTGAAAGATATGTGGAATTTATGTCAGAAATTCTGACTAATTTCTTAGACGAATTGGATCTTATAAGTAGACATCATCTGCATTTTCAGCAAGATGGCGCACCTGCCCACAACTCCAGAGGTACTTATCATTTTCTAAGTACTACTTTTAATGATCAGTGGATAGGAACAAATGGCCCAATACAGTGGCCTCCCAGATCACCAGATCTAAACCCACTTGATTACTTCTTGTGGGGTTACTTAAAGAACCAAATTTACAAGCGAAGGTACGATAACCTTGACGCGTTAAAGACTGCAGTTAGGGAAAAGATAACCCAGATAGATGGTAGGACCATACTTAAGACAGTTCGAGCAGTTGAAAAACGTGCCCAAAAATGTATTGAAGAACAAGGTGGTGTTTTCGAGCATCTTCTTTAAAAAAAATTGTTATTGTATTTTGTAAGATTATAAGTTGATGTTGAAAATAAAGTTTGTCGATACAATTTAATTGTTTCAGATTGGAGGCCATAACTTCAACAATTTGTAACCTAGGAGAAAAGTTATTGTAAGCTTTTTTGTTTAAAATTTGATGCTTTAACAGAAAAAAATATAATATACAGGGGTTTCCATTTAAAAAAATGTTATTTTACTGAAAAAAATCAAAATAACGACTCTCAATTGTTTTTTTTTATTTCTCATTTTTACCAGCGTTAAAAATGCTACTAGTTTGCTAATTCAAACAACTTTGTATTTTCACTAATAACAAAGTTACTAATGGTGGACACTTAATTTGGATAACCCTGTATATACAGAAAACTAACACCCTGTATTTTGTGACCGGAACGAATTGCTCGTTTAAACATATTAGATTTAAAGCCATAGGGTTTTGTATTTACCATATATATTGCCATACTTTGTATTTATGTAGCTTAATAAGAGAATCTTTAGCAGAAGCCATAGAGAGTTTTTAGTTTTAGGCAACCTGTAAACCTACAGAAAAAACACAAATTATACAGTCAGCTTCAAATATTAAAAAAGAGGAAGAAGATAAAGTAAAACCCGGTAATGAATCACAACAGCAATGCGAAATTAATGAAAATACAGATAAACAGAGAGCAAAACCTTCTCAGGAAGCTATGAAAAATAAGATTGCTCTACTCGAAAAAAATCTGACTGCTTTGTATTCTGTCAGAGATACTATGCCAAGCCGTGCTGAAGTTGATAAACAAATCATTAAGTTGCGCGAGGAAATAAAAACAGCAAAACAGTCTTTAGACAGGAAATTTCAAAACGCAGTTGCCCAGAAGAAACACAGGGATGGTATGAAAAGAAAGTTAGAAGATATTTGTCATGAAAATCCAGAAATAAAAAAAAGACTATCTCTGAGGAATTCAGTGGGACGTCCTAATCTTGAAAGCAATCAACATTCACTATTGAAAACAATCGCAGATATAGCTTTATTTGGGAGTGCAGCAGATGATAGAAGACGTACGGAATCAATTCGCAGCGTAAAAACTCTTGATGAACTCACACAAGAACTACGTAAAATAGGATTTGGCATTAGTCGCAGTGGGACATATCTTCGTTTGATTCCCAGAAAATCTAATTCTGCAGAGGAAAGAAGACATGTGTCGACAGTCCCTGTTAAGCTCATACGGGCTCAAACTGATCACCACAAGAGCCACTTAGATAACAAGTTCGCTGAAACATCAATCCATTATTTAGAGAACATAGCATCCATATACTTGGACCAGATCAAATATTTTTCATATCTCAAGATGATAAAGCTCGAGTCCCTACTGGCGTAACTGCGGCAAATAAGCAAGCACCTCTTCTAATGCACATGGAATATAGAATCAAATTGCCTGATCACGATTGGGTGATCGCTGAGTGTCATAAATTAATACCATCTGTTTATGCTAGTATCAAAATCACTTCCAATATGCTAGGACAACCGCAAGCCGTTGGATATTCTGGACCAACATACATCGCTATTCGAAGTGGAAAGCATAGTTCATCTACTGCTAATACTCATGCTCAGGATTTCGAGACGCTTCTCGAACTTGAAGAGTTTCGACCATTAGCTAAAACTGACCATGGACTAGTAAAACCAGTGGTAATCATGACGGTTGATGGAGGGCCAGATGAAAATCCACGTTATCAAAAAGTCATAGGGTTTGCTATACAACACATTAAGCGATATGATCTCGATGCATTGTTTTTAGCTACCGATGCTCCTGGAAGAAGTGCGTATAACAGAGTAGAGCGCAAAATGGCTCCTCTTAGCCGGGAACTGGCTGGTTTAATATTGCCTCATGACCATTTTGGGTCTCATTTGGATGAACGTGGCGTTACCATTGATGAACATTTAGAAAGATCTAATTTCGAATTGGCAGGAAACGTATTAGCTGAAGTATGGAGTTCAATGGAAATTGATGGCCATAATGTTAATGCAAAATATGTTGGGGCAGGTGAACAAGATCTTCCTCATTTTCCAGACATTAAATGGTATTCAGAACATGTGCGTGAGAGCCAATACTTGCTTCAAATTGTAAAATGTAGAAATACAGAATGCTGTCGTCCAAGACGTGGCCTATTTAGATCACTAGACAATAGGTTTCTTCCACCACCTGTAAAAGTAAAACAAACAGTTGATGACTTGGTTTTGGATGAAGGAGGGCAATTCCTTAATCTTCAAGTCAATTTCGCTCTACGCTTAAGTGCTTCACTCCGTCAAGTCACTAAGTCGTCACATCGAAAATATCCATAAAAAAGTAAACACGCACACTGATAGGAAAGTTAGACCTGTAAGAGTCGTTACTCGTCGTTCTAATGAAGTGATGTGCACTATTCAAAATTTAGAGCACCATGATGTTGAATGGCTCGATGAGAATGATGTAGACATTCCAAAATCCGATGAAAGCGAGCAAACTCACAACACTGAGCAGCAATCGAAGCAATCCAATGTCATCGAAAACTTCATGGACTGAAGACTGTTAATTTGAATTTAATATGTGTACCAAAAATTTAAAATAAGTTTGTTATGTTAGTAAGATATAATATTTTTGTCCTTTACTCTATGTTGAATCCCGTATCAGTAAAATATAATCTCTATGCTAAATCTATTTTCTTATTTTTCAAATTATAATTATAACGTTATAATTATAATATTAAAAAAACAATACATTAATTGACAATACGTAAGCATGGGGGAGAGGGTAACAGCTTTGTTACTTTTTCTGGCAAGGGGTATGGGGGGGGGGGGGTAAATAATAGTAATAAATCTGCTTACGTAATACTTGAACGGCCCCTATGTAGGTATTGTTGTATCACTTAAATCAACATTTGAAATGGCTTTTTAAAATCATCTTGGTACCTTTAGTACCAAAAACATATGCTACAATGTTACAGCTGTACAAAAAATACTAATACAGGTATACAAGAAACTTCAACCATTTCCAGGTCCGGAATGTTTGTAGTGGGTCCAGAATCAGCAGGCGCACATCCAGGACCAGTGTGTTACAAGAAAGGAGGACCGTTGACGGTAACTGATGCAAACCTGGTGCTAGGAAGACTGCTACCCGATCATTTTCCAAACATATTTGGACCCAACGAAGATTCCCCTCTGGATAAGGAAGAAACAGTGAAACAATTCACAGAGCTGACGAAGAAAATAAATAAGTTCCTTGCATCTCAAGCAAGCAAAGAGGTATGATTACGTTATAGTTCTCCTTTCAGGTAAACTATTCCAGGTGTTGAATATGCGGATGGGAAGAAACCACTGTCGGACTGTTGTTTTAAATGGCTCCTTATGCAGTTTGAAGCTGTGTCCGCGTAGATTGCTGCGCGACAAACGGTATAGATGCATGAGGTTGGTACCATGAGGTATCCTGAACGTAACTATAAGATCGCCACGAAGTCTTCACTCAGAGAATGAGATCAGGTTGAATAATTCAAGGCGATCTTCATAGCTTGGTCTTCGTGCTCCAAAAGGGATACGAGTAGCCCGACGCTGTACTGATTCGACGAGATTTCTATCGCGCAGAAGCACAGTGTCCCATACCGGGCCAGCGAATTCAAGAATTGGCCTCACGAATGCCTTGTTAATGTAGGCGCAAGTGTTGACATCGGATCCTTTGAAAGACATGTATAGAAGTTTCTTGGCTTTTGATGTAACGTGGTGAATATGCTCTGACCAGGAAAGACGATCGTTGACTACAACGCCCAGATCAGTGTGGCTGGAAACTGCTTCGATGTTGTGGTCAGAGATCTTGTATGTAAATCGCGGATTTGTCTTCCCGAGGTGAAGGACACAACACTTAGTTAGATTTAAGGGTAAAAGCCAACTGACTGACCATTGACAAACAATATCAAGATCTCGTTGAAGCATAGCAGAATTTACGACAGTATTGTAAATCTTGGTGTCGACGGCATAAGCTGAACATGTGGAGGAAATCAATGCGGGCAGGTCACTTGTATACAGAAGGAACAGCACTGGCCCCAAGACAGAGCCTTGAGGAACTCCACTTGCTACATGATAAAGGTGAGACTGGCTATCACTGACGCGCACAGAGAAAGTCCTCCCGGTGAGAAAAGCCTTAATCCACAGTAACAACTCGCCTCTTATTCCCATACATTCCAACTTAAACAGAAGCCTTCTATGTGGTACGCGATCGAAAGCCCTAGAAAAATCTAAGTAGATTGTATCAACAGGAGTCTTTGTGTCCAGATACTGAGTCCAATCGTTGAGAGAGTGGAGAAGGTTGGTCATTATTGATCGACCAGGGAGAAATCCATGCTGATTCTTAGGGATAAGGTTATTTTCGAAAGCAAATGACAGGAGCTTATCTAATATGATTCTTTCAGCTATTTTGGCGGCGATAGGAACGAGACTTATTGGTCGATAATTTTTAGCGGAGGATTTGTCGCCCTTTTTGAATACAGGGGTAACAGAAGCACTAAGCCAGCATGAGGATAGGGTATGAGATCTAAAAGACGATGTGAATATCAAGCTTAATGGTAGGGCCAGTGCTGAAGCGCAGTTTTTAAGTACAGCAGCCGTCATCCCATCTTTACCAGGGGAGGAAGAGGTCTTCAGATTTCGCAGGTGCATTAATACATCTTCAGGCAGGAACTCAACTTCGCAAAGACTGTTGGGACACCTATGGCAGATAGTGGTCGGTAGAAGGTCTCCATTAGGCTCATCGACGAAGTCATCACTAAAGGACTCTGCCAGTAGGTTGGCAGATTCGGTGGCATCCATGTGGAGATGACCGTCAGTGTCGCGGATCTGAGGTGATAAAACTTTGGAATTCAGGTTTGTTCTTAGATACCGAAACAGCTTCTTCTTATTTTTGGAGGTAACGAGTTTTCGTTCATAAGCATGTTTGGCATTATGTAATGTTCTAGATAGGAGGTTAGAAAAGGATCGATGAGACACGTAATCTTGTGAATGGCCACTCCTCCTAAACCGTTGTCACAAAGATCTCTTGTGACGAAGCATCCTCGATATGTTAGAGTTGATCCAGGGCTTTGAGGGGTCACAGTATACCTTCTTTTCAACAGTATTGTCAGCCGTTTCGCTTAAGACTCGTTGAGCGAAAGTGTCCCACATATCTTGGGTGCTACGGTTGTTAAGCAAAGCAGGCCAGTTGACTTCAGACAGGGCTTGGTTAAGAGCATGGTGGTTTACAATTTTGATGGTTTTAAACTTATCGATCGTAGAACGACTATTTATATTGAACTGGAGAGAATATAAAAGTGAACAGTGGTCAGACTTGCCAAAAGGTGGCAAATAATCTAAATTAGAAACAAAGTCGGCGTCGTTAACGAATATCAAATCCAGAGCCCTAGGCGTCTGTCCTTCCTTGAATCTCGTTGGACGATCAACAAGTTGAGATATGCTAGAGTTGCTTAGCAAGTCGATGTAAGCAGCAGAAGAAGAATTGCATTCAGGAATGGTTGACATAGGCCAGCTAATGTCACGTAGATTGAAGTCACCAGCTATGAAAAGGTTGGTGTTTTTATTTAAGAGATCTGAAATGAGACTGCACAGCTGTGTGTCTACCAAACAGGGCCGTGGCCGATATATGCAGCCTATCGTGAAGCTGAAATTTGGGCACCTCAATTCCAAAAATAGATTGTCAATGCCATCGAAAGGACTGAAAGAGGGAGATACCGAGAAAGCCGACGCGATTTCCGTGCGAACATAAATGCATACTCCACCAAAACCAGGAGTGCGTGGTGAATCCATTCTGTATAAATAGTATCCAGGCAAATTGATGGAAGAGTCGGACACGTTGGAATGGAGCCATGTTTCAGTAAGGCAAAAGAGGTAATTGAAATTATAAATGCGTTCGTGCCAGCTCAAGTCCTCAGTGAGCTGGACTCCGACAAGCCGAAGTGAATGGCTCTCTAGTAGAACTCAAAGTACGATGCTGTATTTTGGAAGTCGGAAACTGTACAAGATTGTTGCATCCCCGAGCAATGATAAGCTCCAGGTCTCTCGTTTGTGAGGAAGTCGCTGCTATTCTTTTTTCTCCATCTCACCGGCAATTACACTGGACAACAAATTTTAGTTTTTTAATTGTATCTTGTGGAAAAAGTGCACTTCTTTGTTAATTTTGGGGCGCTGTATCCAAAAATGACAATGAAATAAAAAAATTAGTTGCGGTTTAGAAAAAAAACTTTTTATTTTTAAGGATATATTAAAAAAGTAACAAGACTCATATACTTATAAGAATCACTATAAGCGCTGTCTTTTTGCTGTTCTTTTATGGATCGTTTCTGGAGCATCTCTACCAAGAGTCCAACAGTAGTCTGCAAGCATGGAAGGATTCCACTTTCCCTGGTACCTTTTTTCCATTGTTGAAATATCCTGAAAACGTTCGCCGTGCTCATCACTTACGGCTCCGCAATTGTCAGGAAAAAAGTCCAGGTGTGAGTGTAGGAAATGTATCTTAAGAGACATATTACAGCCCATCTCTTGATACGATGTCAGCATATTTTTGACAAGGGTTTTATAGTTGTCAGCTTTTCTATTTCCCAAGAAATTAGTGACCACCAGACGGAAATCATTCCAAGCAGTTTTTTCAATACCTGTTAAAGTGTTTTCAAACTGTGTATCTTTCAAAATATTGCGAATCTGTGGCCCAACAAAAATACCTTCTTTAACCTTTGCCTCACTTAGTCTTGGAAATTTCTGACGCAGGTATTGAAAAGCTTACCCATCTCTATCTAATGCCTTGACAAAGTTTTTCATTAGGCCCAACTTGATATGCAGTGGTGGTAATAAATTTTTTTTCGAATCTACTAATGGCATATGCTGTACATTTTTTTGACCTGGCTCTAGGAATTGACAAACAGGCCAGTTTTGTCTGGTGTAATGAAGTGCCTTTGCCCGACTGTCCCATTTACACAAAAAAAACAGGAAAACTTTGTGTAGCCTAGCTGCAGCCCAAGTAAAAGTGCAACAACTTTCAAATCGCCACAAATATGCCATTGGTGCTCATCGTATTTTATGCATGTCAATAGGTACTTCATATTGTCATATGATTCTTTCATGTGAACTGCATACCCTACAGGAAGAGATGGTAAAATATTTCCAATATGCAATAACACTGCCTTTAAACTCAATGTTGAACTGTCTATAAACAATCTCCATTCTTCTGGGTTATAGTTTATATTTAAAGCCGCCAGTAAGCCGTAAATGTTACTGCAGAAAACCAAGTTATTCTCCATATTGAAAAATGGTTCTAAGTCTTTGTGGCGTTTACGAAAAACACATACCGAAACATCGTCTTCTAACAAGTTAAACTGCTGCAGTCTTGATCCAAGTAACTCTGCCTTACATTTTGGAAGTTCTAAATCTCTTACAAGATCATTTAATTCTGACTATGTTATTTTGTGCGGTTGGTGGCATGACGTGCTCGCTATAAAATCAGGATCTCTTGACGTTGATGGCATATCTTCTTCCTGACGAATCACTCGATCGCCATGATCTGATTCGTTTTCTGATTCGCAAGTGTAGGATTCTGGGGGTTTTGGAATAGGATTTTCGTCACTGTGAGGCACAGGTCTCATCGCAGATGGTATGTTTGGGTAGTTAATAACCGTTTTTTTTTCTTGGACATACCTGTGGCTTGTCCAACACAAGGTACCATGCAAAAGTAACTATCATTAATATGATTTGTAGGCTCTCTCCAAACCATTGGGACAGCAAAGCGCATAGACCGTTTTTTGCCATTTAACCAGCTCCTCAGACTTGAAGCACATGTATTACAGCAGATGTGGGGTGCCCACTGTTTGTCTTGATCACCTAGTTTACAACCGAAATAAAGCTAATATGCCTTTGTTATTAGTGGAGTAATAGACCGTCTCTGAGACGCAAAAGTCACATCACCACGCACGTAACAAAACTGATCTGAATTGTTTACACACTTTCGAGACATCTTGCATGAACGCTGTCAGCCAACTGAGGAAAAAATGGCTAATATAAAACAATATAATGTACACGTATGTATAACGTAACACAATCATGCCGATTACATCATCTTTCCTTGCCGAATATAAAAATGTAGCACGTGCATTCTTGTGAATTACAGTATATTAACACTGTCACAGCAGGAACACATATAATTACCGTATCTCTAAAACTTGGACTAATATTGAAAAAATAAGTTTCATTCCGGTTTTAGCACATTAAAAATAGTAATATTTTGTTGATTTTATTTAGGATATTTTTTGGCTGTTGATCAGTGTTATCGGCTTGTCACTCTCAGTTATTAATTAATGTTAACAATACACAGTAATAGAGGCAGCAGCGGTGGCCGCAGTAGTAGACTCTTGGGTCTCCTGATCAGTCACCGTGCGCTGTGCGGGTTCGAGTCCCGTCTAAGGAGAACTTTTTCTCTTGGCTATGGATGTTGTGATTGTCCGTAGGTGGTAGACGGTCTCTGACTGTCGAACGTGGAGGTACCAGCCGGCGGATCTTGTAGGCGGAGCCAGAATGTGTGCATGTTGCATGCACACGTGTTCCCTCGCCAGAGTCCGTGTGACGTTCCCCCCCTTTCCCCTGTATCTCCCTATAGCCCCACGGTACCCATTGGGTGTTTAGGCCTTAGGCCTTCGTGGTAGTTGGAATATAAAAAAAGTTCCTGCATGTAGAGTGGTGTCATCAGTGAAGCGGTGAATAGGGTTGATCGTGCAGGAAAGAAAGTCGTTGGGGGAACACCCGCGTTGGCGTTTTGGGATGAAGAGTAGAACCCATTAATTACGACGGATATCTCGGGGTCAGAGAAAAAGTCAGTCACGCGTTTGCAAAGCTTTTCTGAGAGGCCATAGGATGGAAGTTTGCTTAAGAGGACAGCGTCAAGAGCAACGACATGAGCCTCATAAGCAACGGCGCATCCAGGATTTGTGTCTGAGGGGTCACACTGGTCAAAAAACTTATTGTATTATTAGCTGTAACATCGGTATCTCTTTTAGGATCCAATGTCAATAGAGGAGGTGGGTCTAGGCTTCATACGTGTAGCAAATGAGGCTATGTGTAGGCCAATCCGAGCCCTCACGCAAGCTAAAGGCTACGACACTTCGCGACATGCTTTAGCGTGTTTTGGAGGAGCCGGAGGGCAACACGCTTGTGCTATAGCAAGGTCACTGGGGATGAGTACAGTTTTTGTTCATAAATATGCAGGTAAAACTGAGTTAAATGACGTTACGTTTAAACAGTATTCCCAAGCCGTTTCTATAGATAGTTCGACTAGAAATTTCTGATAAATATAAAGACATTTTACAGTAGACCTCCGGTAATCCGACAAACATTATGCAGGGCACTGTCTAAGACCCCCTATAGTCCGGAATTTTTTACAAAAGAGTACCTTGTAATCCGACAAATTACTTATCCAATGGTAAGATTATATGTATATGTTATGTATATGTATGTACTTTGGAGTACAAATCATACATAGTTTATGTAGGTCGAATATTAGTAAATTAAATAACAATAGAGTTTACGTTTTATTATAAAATTAAGCATAAATGCACATACATATGTACCAAAATAATCAGGAATTATTAATCAAAATCATTGATGAATTTATCAAATTATGAAGCTTGGAAATATTCATAATTTTTTTTTGTTCAAGGTTGTTATAATGCGAGATCAGAGCTTTGTCAGTCTTCTCAAAAGTAAAAGTTCGTTGTAGGATGTACCATTCTCTTCAGCCCATTGTAAACCTAGCTCAAAGGCGTTAATTGCGTCTTGTGCTGTGACTTGTGGAGCAGTTGCAATCACGTCGTCGTTATTTTCCTGATTGTTTGTTGTATAATTAGAAACCTCTTTTATAATCTCTTCGTCAGACATTTCATTAAAAACATTTTCCTATTTATCCATTCCACGGCACCACATTTCCAAATCTTCCGGACTTATCTGTGTTTCAGTAGCGACTTGTTCTATAACTTCCGAAGTAACACTGATTTGTGGAACGTTGCTAGGAGTGGTGACTATATCTGGCCATAACTTTTTCCAAGACGATTTAACAGTTGATGACGGTAACGCATTCCACGACTGACAAAGAGCAAGAACCAAGTCTTTCAGATTAAATTCTTTTAAAGTTTTTTCTATTGGTTGGTCTTTTGATACGGCTCTCAGAAGTACGTTCTTCTTGCTTGACAAACTGAATGATATTCTTGTCCATTGGTTGAATCAGTGCAGTGCAATTTGGCGGAAGAAACATCGCAGTGATGCATTTATCCTCAGTTGTTAGTTCTTTTTCAGACGGATGACCGGGAGTGTTATCAAGAAGCAACAACGCTTTTTGAGGAAAATTATGATCTTTTAACCATTTTCTAACTTCAGGTACGAAGCATTCATCAAACCACTTTTTGAAAAGGTCTTTTGTCATCCATGCACTTTTTTGTCCGTAATAGTGTACAGGTAAATCAATGTTTTTGAATGCCCGTGGTTTATTAGATTTCCCAATTACCATCATCTTAAGCGCGTTTGTGCCCGCAGCGTTAGCACATGGTAGTATGGTTACACGTTCTTTACTTTCTTTTCGTCCAGGTACGGATTTTTCGTTACAAGACACGAAGGTTTCTAGCCGTCCTTTGCTGGCCACAAAATCATCTTTTTTTGTTATTTCCTTATAAAAAAAATTAGCTTTCATGGCCAACATGGGTCCTGAAATTGGTGCATGCCTATTTCTTTCCTGAAGAAACCACGCCGTATTCACTTGCTAAACTACTGAAAGTTTCATTGCGATTTAAGCGGTCTAAAATATCACATTTTTCTTTAATTGTCAATGTTTTGTGCTTTCTCTTCTGAGTTTGTGATGACATTACTAGATGCTATACTTAATACACAACAAATAAATAGTGAACAATGAACGCACGCTAGGCCGTACCGCTATCACAAGTAGTCAAATTCAAACTAAGTGAAACAATGCTTACGCGTCGAGCACGATAGCGGTGGCGCGTACAAGTTGTAACCTGTTCAAACCTGCGTGATCTACATTAGCGAAGATTGTCAAATACGTACAGGGGGCGCCGGATTAGAAGCGGCCGGATTATCGGGGGTCCATTGTATTTGAAAAATAAACTTATACATCGCTTAAATATAATTTTGTCCGAAAGAGTTATGAGATCTCCGTATTGATCCACCATGCCACACCACAAGACAGCTTTATTTAATCAATCTTTCACATTTAACGCAGTTACTCTATTCCGAAAAACCTGAAACTATCGATTTCAAATACGATGTTTGTCACAACAATTGTAAAATACAGTCGTTATTCCAGTTTTATACGTATTGTCCCGACAAGCCTCTTAGGTTTAGATATCATTTGCGAGATCACCTTCTGCATAAACAAGTGTATTTTTTGTATGTATATACTTTATTATTTAAATAGATTCACATAATTTTGTTGAATGTTATATACTAAGTGACATATAAATCCGAACACCCAGTTTAAATGGTTTTATTTTGATAAAAGTTGGTGAATGTATTTATCTTACTGTAAATAACAAGTGAACAAATTTTCAGCCTTATCAGTTGGATATTCCGGTTTTTATACTGCTTTTTTTTCATTCACTAACGCTCTAAAAATGAATATTTCAGCCGCAGTAAAGAATCAACGTTGGCGGATTTTGGTTCTTGACATCCTTTACGATCGGTTACGATGCCTAGAGTACGGAGACCTGTACGATTTCGTCAACTTAGTGAGTTTGATAGGGGCCGTATAGTGGGACTTCGGGAAGCTGGACTTTCTTTTCGGGCAATTGCAGTTAGAGTGCAAAGAAGTGTAGATACTGTGGTTAGGTGTTGTCAGGCATGGCTTCGAGAAGGCCGTACGCAAAGAGCAAGCGGCACTGGACGCCGCCGTAGAACAACAGACCGTGAAGATCGCCGCCTAAGATTATTGGCCTTAAGGGACCGTTTCTCCACTACCAGGTCCATTGCAAATGAATGGTTTGGAAGACGGAAGACCTATTGGCATGCGAAGTGTTTACCGACGAATGAGAAGTTTTGGCTTGTTTTCATACCGGCCACACTGGGTCCTCCCTTTAACTCGAGAACACCGACGTAATCGCCTTGAGTGGTGCAGACAACGGTCACTCTGGGATCAGGAATGGAACAGTATTGTCTTTAGTGACGAGTCTAGATTTTGTTTAGGCATGCACGATGGTCGTGCTAGGGTTAGAAGGCGACGTGGTGAAAGGAGGAATCCACAGTTTTTTGTTGAAAGACATGTTCATCACACTGTTGGAGTTATGGTTTGGGGTGCTATAGCTTATGGTTCCAGGTCACCTTTAATCTTCATCAGAGGTAACATGAACGCGTAGCGTTATATCCACGAAGTTCTAGAACCCCATCTTTTACCCTATCTTGACATCCTGGCAGATCCAACTTTCCAACAAGATATTGCCCGACCACATGTTGCAAGAGTCACAATAGACTTCTTTCAACATAATGATGTCACATTGTTACCATGGCCACCAAGATCTCCCGACTTATCCCCAATTGAGCACGTGTGGGATATGATGGGCAGGAGATTGCTCAATTTGCAACGTCCTCCTCAGGCTCTAGAAGCACTTCGAGAGGAGTTGGTCGTTGCCTGGAATGAGATACCACAGGAGGACATTGACCACCTGATCAGAAGCATGCCTAGGCGCGTTGGAGAATGCGTAGCACATCAGGGTGCATCCACACATTATTAAAGGTCAAAGGGCTTTAAAGCAGTGCAATAATTAAAATAAATTTTTATCATTTACTTATTATGCTTCATTAAGTACTTATACAAAATTTTATTAAAATGAAACCATTTAAACTGGGTGTTCGGATTTATATGTCACTTAGTATACTTTTTCTGATATTGGGTCAAGTGGAAGAACAGCTACATGAGCTAAACTTGTTCACAGTGTAATCATTGTAAATAAATACTATCATTAATGCTATTTAGGAATTCTATCTGCATATGGAATGGCCTTAGCAGACGTCGTTCACGAAGCTCAAGAATCATGTGCAAAAACGTACGATCCAGAAAACTTTTCCTACATTGATGAGCGTTTGACTATCTTAGAATCAGAATGCATGGCAGTCCTCCAGAAACAAGGCTTCGACAAGAATCATATAATTTTGGAGCCTTATTTACACATGCGGTACGACGGTAAGTACACCAACACCAACCCATGTAACGAAAACACCGTTTTTATTATTTTTTACTCTCAGATTAATTTATCACATATGTCGACTGGACTATGTTTTTCCGCGCTGTTGACTCATCGTGCACTCGGTCGCCTCTGCCTCAATCTGCACTCTGTGCGTGTATTTATCTTCGATTCTACGAATCCAGAAACGTTCTAGACACAACAGTCTTCTTCGAAGCTGGTAGATGGCGGTCGATGCTTCTCGATGCATAACGAACGTTCTCGACTGGGGGTCCCGGGTGTCTCATTGTTACTCATACTTCTTGTCACGAGGCCATTACAGCAAGTCGTCCTGAATTCAGGACGTTACAGAATACTGTATAACTGCAGCTTATTACCTTGTCCCAATACAGCTAGCTAATATTAAAGAAGAGACGAGAAGAGTTTCTAATATTTCATGTTATTTATCAGGTACTGACTGCGCGTTAATGTGCTCGCCTGTGAAGCAACAGGGAGGTCAAGCAACCAAGCATGGCGATTTTGTAAAACCGTTCATTGACAGGTACAAAGCAGAGTTTGGTTTCACGATACAACATAGGAGCATCATTATAGCTGACATCAGAGTGCGAGGTATAGGAAGAAGTGATTTAGAAGAAGAAAGATTGGTAGAAGTATCCACATCTCCTCCTTCTCCCAAGTCTGTTACAAAGGTATCGATATACAGGCTGTCCGCAAAGTTGGGGTTTTCCTTTTCAGAAACAACTACCCTTGAAATAACAAAGGTAATGTGTAGTGAAACGAGCGCGACCAAGTAAAAAAAAATAAAGGAAAAAGTACTCACTCTCCAGTTGACGAGAAGGGCTAAGTACGTCTCTGCCTGAAATCATACCGCTCCAACAGAAAATGAAATCAGCTCATGCGCTACCGAGCAGACGCCGGCGGTGGTGCAGACCAAACAAATAAGACGGCGTTGCCGCGTTTTCAGTTTTTAGGTAAACGTACTTCATAGGTATTCGAAGTTATCGCCGTTTGATTCAAAAACACAGGTGCGTGCACGACATAGCCAAGCATCGGTACAGGCTTTGAGAATGGAGTCCCTCCCCCGAATGAAAGCACCAGCTTGTTCAATTCTGAGACGAAGTTCGTCAACCGCATGCACTTCAGTTTTATACACTAAGCGTTTCATTTCTCCCCAAAGAAAAAAATCACATGGTGTAAAGTCTGGAGATCGCGGAGGCCACGCTACGGGTCCATTACGTCCGATCCACCTATTCGGAAATAATTCATTCAAAAACTCACGCACTTCGCGTCTAAAATGGGGCGGTGCACCATCGTGCAGAAACCACATTGATTGTCTTACACTTAATGGCACATTTTCTAACAAGGAAGGCAAAATGTTGCGTAAAAAGTCTAGGTATTGCATCCCGTCCAATCGATTTGGGAGAATAAATGGTCCAATGAGCATACCGTTCACCATGCCAGCCCAAACATTCACCGAAAATGTTTGTTGAAAATGTGCCCGACGGACAGCGTGCGGCTTTTCTACTGACGAAACATGAGTGTTGCGAAAGTTATTCACCCCATTACGCGTGAACGTAGATTCGTCTGTCACCAATATGGACTTAAAAATGTCCGGCTTATTGTCATGTTGATGCAACAACCACTCACAAAACCGCACTCTTGCTGGAAAATCGTCAGGTTGAAGGGCTTGTACACGTTGGACGTGAAACGGATACAGCCCCTCTTCACGCAGCGTTTGCCACACTTTAGTTTTTGATACTTGCACTTCTCTAGCCACGTCTCTAGTGCTTGTTGAGGGATTCTCGTCTACGCGATTCAGTAGTTCTTCCTCAACTTGCACCATTCGTGGTTGTCTAGGCCTCCCACTGTGCCCACCTCGAAATTCCTCCAAATGGCCCGTATCCCTGACTCTCTGGACCAGGTACACAAATCTGCGGGGCCTTGGATGATGTCGTCTAGGGAAACGATCTGCATACACTCGCGACGATTCTGTAGCATTTTGAAGACATTCGCCATAAATTAACAACATATCAACGAGTTCATTATTGGTGTATGAGTGTGCCATTATTATTTTTTTTTTGAAACGCAATCGATTATACGGGTTCGTTACCTCTATACGCGTGACCCTTTACCGTCGGTTGAAGGTTGCATACTGACCTGACACACTGACCCCGACCCCCGACCCAGTTCTGTCGTCGGGTTCAGCTAGTAGCCGGTACCAGTCTGGGATATCGCGGCGGGTCGCGGCTACAGGACGGTATTCAGATATTTTTGATGTTGCAGAGCCCTTTATCTCGGTTCCCTTAAGACATTGGTGTATATGGTACTAAGAAAAATTGCTTATGTTTTCAAGATCTACATGTCGTGTAAAGGAAAACCCCAACTTTGCGGTATTAGTGTTTTATGTTATATATTAATTTGTACAATTTTATACTCTAGAGTTTCTAACATTACATAATGTTGATTGTGCAGGGCTGCCAAAACTTAAATTTGTTTCTGCAATATCCTAAAAATAAAATAAAACACCCATCAATTGGTCTTCTCTTAGACTTTTGCTGAAGGTTGAAGGCTCTGTATGAAAAGTGATGCCTAAATCTATTATATTCCATTTTTAAGGTATTGAAGAAACAAATGAGGCAGTTATATAAATATTGGCCACTAGGGGGTCCCAGCCTATGAGGCCAAACAAATTTCTGTTTGATAACCCGCTCAAACTTGCAATTTGAAAGTTGATAGGGAAATCATGTATGCATTTCAAAATCTAATTCTTATTCGACAAATAAAACACATATTTATCATTAAAAGAATATTATTTACTAAATTTTTTAGGAACTCATCAGCATTGTCTAGGCTCTATATAAGAAATATAAGATACAAATAAAGCAGTGCTTTATTTTTCGACTAAGAATTAGGTTTTGAAGTCCATACATGGTTACCCTATTAACTATCAATTTCAAAGTTTGACCAAAAGTCATCGTTCCGCGATCGCAATGATGTTTATTTTTTGAGTTGTTAGAGCCAAATGGAAAAACATGAGAGGGTAAGCGTTTGAGAAAATCAACTTTAATTTTTTGAGACACCCTATTGGCCTGTGTTATTGTCTGTTTTGTGTCGCACATTTGAATGTTTGTTGGATAGGTGTATTTTGAAAATGGCTACCAAGATACCGCCGTGTACTTCTTGAACGAACTAAAGGCTCAGCAGTCCATTAAAGGGCCTGCTATAGTAATGGATCAACTTAGTACGATATTGGTGGAGCCAGATTGTACCGCCATTATAACAAAGCACGGAGATATAAAGATTACGATCGGAACTGGTATTTTGAAGAACATCGGACCAGAATTGGATGCTATTCAACTGAGTATTTTTAGTCATCGCTTTATGAGCATCGCTGAGCAAATGGGAAGGTACGAAGGACACTAGAAAATAAATCTGCCATAAAACTTTTTGATAATTTCATTTTTCAGTATAGCAATGCACTTGCACCATTTATTATATCACTATAAAAAAATGTTTCCTGTTCACTCTCAAAACAGTCACCACACCCATTTATCTACCTCCACCACGTGAAAACTATACTGTGTAAAAAGAAATTTATTTCCCAAAATATAGTTTTAATTTTTAATATTTTTATCACTCCTTTCCCATTTTAATCCATTCGGGTTTATTAACAAATGTAACTATGTGTTCCTTGCTTAAAAACAAACAGAATGTGTTTAGTCTTTTGCTTTTATAATCCTAACAAGTAGTCTCATCCGCGTACTCTTTCTAAAACACCATTTAGCGGCAACCTCACCGACTAACTCCTGAAGATGACAGCATAGTCTGTCGAAAGCTCGAGGTTTAAGTCAAAACAGTTCACTACGCTATGAGTTTTGCGGATTCACAATAAACAATTTAGTTTGTATATATATATATATTTTGCTGGTATATATATATATTTTGCTGGTATATATATATATGTAGTTCTTGACCGCAGCTTTAATAATTACCAGATACATTTCGTGAGCGTTTGCAAAATGCGATCCATGTAGGAGAGTGAAACACCCCAACATGCAATAATAAAATGACGTCAAGTAGGTTGACTCGTTCGGGAGTCACGATATTTAGCGGATTAGGATACATTTCGTGAGTATCCGTGAAATGTTGTCCACTATGCAACATTGAAATTACATCAGGCAGGTTGACTCACTCTAGGAATAACGTGATTGGGCGAATTAGGATACATCTCGTGAGCATCTGCGAAATGTGGTCCATGCAGGAGAGTGAAACTTCCCAACGTGCAATAACAAAATGTCGTCAAGTAGGTTGGCTCGCTCGGGGGTCACGATATTCAGCCGATTAGGATACATTTCGTGAACGTCTATGAAATGTGGTCCACTCAGGTGCGTGAAATACCCCACCAAGCAACATTGCGACCACGGTTCAAGTTACTTCTAAGCCAAACCGTAAACGGATTAGCTTCCAAATTATCGATTTATTAGTAAAACATAGCTCCGTTTCTTCAGGTTACACCCGTATCCGGATATATGGGCATGTGTGTCTACTTTTGTAGTTGCTTATGTGCGTTAATTTCGGGCCTGATGAAGCAAACAAGCAGAAATACGTATTGCTCGGGTTACTTTCTGCTAGAATCCACTTTCCTTCTTTTTGCGGAGTTTGACCATTATTTCTCTTTTAGTTATATACCTTTCCACGCATGATTCTTTCTTATATATATATAGGCAAAACTTAAAGCGTAGTGAACTATATTGACGGTAATGTCAAGCTTTCGATAAACTATGTTGTCATCTTCAGGAGCTAAAACACGATTATGAAAATAGCAACCAATTCAGAAAAGATTTAAATTTTCAAATTACTTACTCGTCGATGAGGTTGCAGCTAAATGGTGTTTTAGAACGAAAGCGTGAATGAGAACACTTGTTAAAATTATAAAACCAAAAGACCGGACATATTAGGTTTGTAATTTTTGTTGTTTGCAAGTTTGTCGAAAGCTTGAGATTGCCGTCAAATGAGATCACTACAATTTAATTTTTGCCAATTCTAAATAAACAATTTAATTGTATTTTTTGCCAAAACTGGTCATTGGCAATGGCAGTGACTACTGCTCGCATATATATATATATTCCTGATTTTTGTTCGAATCTAAATATTTTGAAAATTGCTCATCACCAAACTTTGTGGACATGGGGAATCAGGAAATATTCCAGCGTATCACACTTCTCGTATATTTTGTGAAGCATCTCAGAAATTATGATTATTGCATCCACAGGATACTCCAGAGAACCTCAATATCCACCAACATCAAGGAACGTTTAGACTTCTCATGTGCTCTGTTTGGTGCTGATGGAGGTTTGGTATCTAATGCTCCCCACATCCCCGTTCATTTGGGAGCAATGCAGGAGGCAGTTCAGTACCAGATGAAGACTAGGAAGATTTTTAATGAAGGTGATGTTATCTTATCCAATCACCCATCAGCTGGAGGCTCACATCTACCGGACTTCACTGTCATAACTCCGGTCTTCTACAAGTAGGTTATATAATCATAAGCACACTCTTTCAATCCCTGGTTGGTGACGTATGTTTATTATAAAATTTTGCGATAATTCCACACCTCTTACGACATTTTTTAAACAAACATGAGGGTAACATTCTACAAAATATTGGACACTGTGAATTACAGACTACTATTTTATTTCCAGGAGCAACAAAACTCCAATATTCTTTGTAGCAAGTCGAGGTCATCATGCCGATATAGGGGGGATAACTCCGGGATCTATGCCCCCGCATTCGACTAGCTTGGACCAAGAAGGGGCCGCATTCAAGTCTTTCTTGATAGTCAAGGCTGGCAAGTTTCAAGAGGAAGAATTCACGAACGAGATCAATAAGGCGGGAGGACGGAATTTATCTGATAATATTTCAGACTTACGGGCACAGGTATATATATATATATATAGTATATACGCGAGCACACACATACACACACACACACACACACACACACACACACACACACACACACGCACAATCACACACACACCCACACACACACACACACATATATATATATATAGGGAAATTGGCAAACTTTAAGCTTAGTAAACTCTTTTGATGGTAATTTCGAGCTTTCGACACACTATGTTGTCATCTTCAGGAGCTAAAACACAAATATGAAGCTAGCAACTAATCAAGACAGGATTCAAATTTCCAGAAAACTTACTCGTCTGTGAGGTTGCAGCGTCCACGCTTCCGTTTTAAACGCCATTTGGCAGCAACCTCAACGACGAGTAAATTTTCTGAAAATTTAAATCCTTTCTGAATTAGTTGCTAGCTTCATATTTGTGTTTTAGCTCCTGAAGATGACAACATAGTGTGTCGAAAGCTCGAGATTACCGTAAAAAGAGTTTAGTAAGCTTAAAGTTGGCCAATTTCCCAATTAATAATTAATTGTATTTCTTGCAATGGCAATGACTACTGCTCGTATATATATACGTATTTTACAATTGTTTTGACATTGTTCAAGCAAAATTAGAGGGTATGTTTTTGAAACAAAGAACTTTCATTTTTTGGGACACCCTAGTATCGATGACTGAAAACAAGGTTATCAGTTCCTTTCTTGTAAAAAATGCATTTTTATGCATTTTATCTTCAATCAACTTGTTATGGAAGAACGAAGCGGATGATTTCTGGTTTTCTTATCGCGATCGCTTTTCAAAAAACCTTTGCCCTTCTTGAAAACCCAAGGAATTTAGTAACTGATTTTACTTATCGATCAAAGGTTGAGTTAGATTTTTAATAGGCGGTCTGTGTTAACCTACCAAATATCCTAACCTTAACAGGTCGCAGCAAACAAAAAGGGCATCGACCTAGTCGGAGAGCTGATAGACCAATACAGCCTTGAAGTGGTTCAAGCATATATGAACCATATCCAAACAAATGCTGAATTCGCTGTAAGGGATATGTTGAAAGAGGTTGCCATCGAAACAAAAGCGAGAACGGGAACAACCGTACTGAAAGCAGAAGAGTTTATGGACGATGGATCACCAATTAGGCTTCAAGTCAGCTTGGATGAGAGAGAAGGTACTGCGTATTGCGACTTCAGGTGAGATGATCTTTATTCCTTTTATTTAAAAGATCTACACTACCCTATTAGTAGGGAAGTGCAAACTTCGTATAAGTTACAAGAGGCCTTTCGGGTCCGCGTCTGGCGTGGATGGTTTGTGATATTTTATTTTCGATTTCAGGGTTCACCTCAGTTGTATATATTATATAAGATTTCATTTCATCCCAAACAAAAAAAATCACAAAGGATCGTAAAAAACGATCTGCATGCACTCGCGAAGCCTCGGTAGCATTTCGAAGACACTCACCGTAAATTAAAATAATATGGACAACTCCGATACTGCTGTATGAGTGCGTCATTTTTGTTTTGTTTTTTCAGAACCGATGTGTAAATGTTTTGATTACCAATGCGGCCAGCGCCTGCATTGAATACTGATGCTCCACGTACGTGTTTACATTTGATCTGAACGATGTGCAGGACCGGATTAGGATTTTTCAGGTTTGCTTTAGTTTGCGGTAATCTTAAGACTTTGACTAGAAAAAGTTATTTTTTCTAAGGAAAGTTCTAATTTTGAGGACACTGCATAATAATTGGACTATGGTATAAATGAATCAGCTCACACCACTTATAAACGCTGCGTTTTGTGTTTGAGAGAATGAGTAATGTCTGGCAGCCCCGGGATCTCACCCTATCCGTACGGCAGTACAAACTACGTATAATTTACGAGAGGCCTTTCGGGTCCGCGTCTGCCGTGGCTGTTTTGTGATATTTTATTTTCGATTTCAGCGGCACTGGCCCCGCGGTGTGCGGCAACTGCAACCGAGTTCACCTCACTTGTACACACTAAACATTTCATTTTACCCCAAACAAAAGGAATCACAAAGGATCTTGAAAAACGATCTACATGCAGTCGCGAAGCCTCGGTAGCATCTTGAAGATACTCACCGTAAATTAAAATAATATGGACAACTCCGATACTGCTGTATGAGTGCGTCATTTTTGTTTTGTTTTTTCAGAACCGATGTGTAAAGGTTTCGATTACCTAATAATGCAGCCAGAGCCTGCATTGGGTATTGATGCTCCACGTACGTGTTTACGTTTGATCTGATCGACTTGCAGGACCGGATTAGGTTTGATTTACTGTGCGGAGCCCAACATCTCGGTAATCTTAAGGCTTTGGAGTATATGTTACTAGAAAAAACTGCTATATTTTCCAAGGTCTAATCTTTCTAAGGACTGTTCTTAAGTAATGTCTGGCAGCCCCGGGATCTCACCCTATCAGTACGGCAGTACAAACTTCGTATAATTTACGAGAGGGGCCTTTCAGGTCCGCGTCTGCCGTGGATGGTCTGTGATATTTTATTTTCGATTTCAGCGGCACTGGCCCCGAGGTGTGGGGCAACTGCAACGCGCCCAAAGCCATAACCTTGTCTGCGCTGATTTACTGCCTGAGATGTATGGTGGGGCACGACGTACCCCTCAACCAGGTAAGGAACTCGTTTCTCGGTCACGGGTCCGCGGAGAGAGGATCGAGAGGGATTTTTACATCAAGTCGGATGTATTTATGGAGTGCAGTCGAGACAGCTTGGGAGATGAGGGATTGGGTTGTAACAGGATATTTGCCTCTAAAAGACTTCGCAGAGAACTTACGGAGAAGGACTTTCGACTAAGTTAAAAAAATAGTATTGTTATAAACCAGAGTTCCCCAAACTTTTTTGTGTCGTAGACCCCTTGCCATGTTTTTCCGTGTTGGGTAGACCCCCTACTTACCTGATATTGATTTCCTGTAAATTTCTAACTGTAGTGAAGTTTAGTGTTAAAAACTTACTTAAAATAGTACAATAAGTGAGTTCGTTTATTAATTATAACATAAACGTATGTTCTACAATAATTTTACTGTTAGTTTGATTAAATTCCGCTTCTTATACGTTTAAGTTATCTAAAAATAGGCAAAAAATTAACGAATTTTAGTGTGTACCTATCCTTGAATTTTCAGAATAATTTAAAAAAAATATTTTCTATAAAGGGGGGTTCTTTAAAAAAATCAATGCGGGCACTTATTCCCAATGCGGGCATTTATTGATCAGACACCAATAAACATAAAACAAACTATAAATAAAATAACATAAGCAATAAGTCAATATTTTTAGTGAGAAGGATAAACCTGATGCTTTAATAAATAAATTATCAACATTCGGCGTCAATTTTGTCAGGGTTAATCTTAAATCTCCTCGGCTAATGATGTCCAGTCTGTTTCTTTTTTTCGTTAGGAGATTGGTAACAGCGCTGAACCCCCTTTCCACTAGGTATGACGATGGAAAGAAAATTAAAAATTTCCTCGCTATATTCCATAATATGGGATAAGTAACGGGTATGTTGTTTTGCAGCCAGAATTGCTGATATCCGTTTTTAAACTGAACCTTAAGTTCTTCGTTTGTACTTAGTTCAGTCAGTTCCTCTTGTATTATGGCATTCGTTTCTTCTATGTCACCATATGGATTAATTATTCACGGTGGTATTACCATAGTCAAAATATCCTCAAACCTAGATTCAAAATCTGAATAAAGGGCATTTAAATGTTGAACGTAAGTTGAAACGTCGTCTTCCTGGCAGCTTGTCTGTGACAAATTGGGGAACTGAGAAAATATGTTGCTTCATTAGTTTAACTCTGGCAAGAAACGCTGATAAGATGGACTTTGTTTTAATCAAATTTACACTGTCGCCTTGTAATTGCAAATTAACCATATTAAATTTTGTAAACAAATCTGTTAAATAGGCGACGTCTGTTTTCCTCTTCCTTAAATTTTCTTTTAAAATTTTATCTTTAGTATCCAGAAATTCTAAAATAGTCTCAAAAAGTGCAAAAAATTTTCGACAGCCAGCGTACTTCAGTGTTCGTCATTTTCTTCACACAACTGCGCAAATAACCGCGTATTCAACGCGTTGCTTCGGATTCGGTTTACTGCATCAATGACTAAATGAAGTGATTCATGCAATCTAACACTCAAACTTTTAGCAACTAAATATTGTCGATGGATGACGCAATGTATTGCTAACACCCCTGACACATTTTGTTTTAAATAGCTTATAAATCCACGATAATGTCCAACCATGGCAGGTGCTCCATCTGATATTATAGAGGAATTGCTTTTTCAATGAAGTAATCCTTCAAAACATGAAATATTGATTTACCTTTAGTGTCGGTTATTAAAGTTCTTGCGAAGAGCAGTTCTTCGTAGATTTCTTGATTCATAATAAAACAAACATGTGCCAATAATAATGCTGCATTATCAGGTAAAGTTGACTCGTCCAGTTGTATAGAGAAATGGGTCGTTTGCAAATAATTACATAAGAAGCTTTCAATATCAGAACTCATTTCATCAATACGTCTTTCAACAGTATTGTTGCTTAAGGGAATTCTTTTAATGATATCAGATGCAGGTTTGTGAAAAACAGTTTTTAAAACCTCTTCAACGGCTGGCAAAATTAACTTCTCTCCGATAGTATGCGGTTTTCCGGATTTTGCTATAAGTAACGAGATATTGTAAGACGCCCGAAAACCATCATCATTTCTTTGTGACGTCGAAGCGAACATTCTGTCCAGTGTAGGTCTCTTCTGAAATTTATCTTTGAGTGTTTGAAAGTATTTCAAATCTTTCTCTGTTTTATCAGGGTGGCATCTTCTCAGATGATCTTGCAGTTTAGATGGTTTCATAGCGTCATTGCCCAAAACTTTGTTGCATAAAAGGCACATAGGCGATTGTTTGTCCGGCAATGATGGAATGAAGCCAAATTTCAAATAATCAACACTATACTGTCTACATTTCTTTTTAGATTCGGACATGGCATCAGTCATCTGTGGGCAAAATTAAATTATTTAAATAAGACAGAAAATCCAACAGCTGTATATTAAAAATATTTTTTGATTTTTCCTAAAACATGCCATAATTCGAACATCTTCTTACAACAATTAGCTCGAATTACGGAGATTACACTTTAATTATATTACCGATTGCTAAAGCTTTCAAAAAGAAACTATTGAGGAGTACTCGTGTAATTTTGCATGATTGAGTATTTAACTACTAATAACTAAAGTCATGATTGGCGTAATTTATCTATCTTTGCTAACTACGAGTACAAAACTAAAATTCAATAAAAAATAATGTACTTACTTTTCTCCAGCACTCTCAAACAAAATAACACTGACTCACTATAATTTGTGTGATATACTATCTGTTTATATTTTTTTAAATATTTTCTTAGCACTTTCCTTTTCAAGATTCAGGAAACGAATAAACGTATTTGTCCCACATTCGTATTTATAAAGTGACGAATTGAACAAGTCAGTGCAAGGTAGCGAAGCTCTGAGACTGCGACTCTCAGGTTTTTACAAGTTCAAAATGTATTGCGACCACAAAATACCAACATCCTACAACTTACACAATTTTATAAACATATATAATAAATTTTTTACTTCATAGGTACTTTTATAAATAATGTATATGTTTTGATATTATAAGATAGTATGATGTAAGTAAATTGGTACTATCAGTGTATGTGTTGAGATCCACTATCGTGGACACCCATATTCATTTTATGGACCCCCAAATTTTGTTTCGCTGACGTAGACCCCTTGCAGGTTGTCATAGACCCCTAGGGGTCGATATAGACCACTTTGGGAATCAATGTTATAAACCATTAAAATGCTAGAATTAATAAAATGATCTAGAATTAATTGGTTAATTACGAAGTTCCGGCATAGTTCAACCATAGGTACCGCCTTTTCGCTCGACGCCGAGTGTCTGCTAAGCGTCATCGCCTCCTCGACGCCCCGAAAGGTTCCCTCGACCCAAAAGAATGCGGAAAAAATTCGGGTTGTTATTTGGTTCCTGCCACGTCTAATCTTCAGAATTGCTGTTTATGTTGGTAGTTTCCGTTTTTAATTACTCGTATGAACGAATTGTAGATTTGGAACACCCTAACGGGCAACATTCTGAACATTTATTGAAATAAAAAGTGATATTTTCCTGTGTTTTTGTTTACTATTTGAACAAATTAAGACCAATAAAGATTTTTATAATTTTCTTGAAAACGAATAGATCGATTTTAAAAAATCGAACGGACTTCGAAATACCCTTCAAACAAGCTATTACTCGTTACCCCTTGGCATTCAAAATTTTAAGGGATTGACCCTGGGGGGCCGAGGGTGGAAGAGGGTGAAGTAGATTTTGGTTAAAAAGTTGACCCCCTCGAGAAATCTTTTGACGTATCTCGCCTTTTTTTTTGTTTAATCAGTCGTTTTCGATAAATCGGTGGTGGGAAGTCTTCAAATTGAATTGCGGCATACTGAGACGACGTCGGGCCATCACTGTGGCCTTTTTCTATACACGACAATATATTGTCATCAGAATTGTCATTTGTACTAGAAAAAGGTCGCCGCGCCACAGGATAAGTTCCAGGCCTCATATTGAAATATGCGTTACTTTGAAAACCGAAAATTCCGCTTGTAGATATTGGTCCTGTATTGCAGAGTCGAAAATCATTCAAGAATGACCAGAGGCGTCCTTTAGGGGCCAATATCTCAGCATTTTCATATACATTAAATGCATTCTGGGTATGTCGTCCATCAGGGTTGCCTCAAGCCGGTCCAAATTCACATCCCCAAAGGAAGCCTTTTGGATCCGAGCGAAAACGCAGCAGTGGTGGGAGGCAACGTGCTAACGTCCCAAAGGGTTGTCGATGTCGTGCTGAAGGCGTTCAGGGTATGCGCAGCGTCGCAGGGATGCATGAACAACATCACCTACGGCTGTGCGGACTGGGGATGTTACGAGACCGTTGCTGGAGGCAGTGGGGCGGTGAGTACGGTTTGCCTTACATCTATAGTACTAGGATAACATATTATGTCGTAAGAAGGAAATTTGATTGTAATAAATAGTTCGCATTTTTAAGATATTTATATTTTTTTTTGAAATTTATCACCCTTAAGGGCCGATTTCAAAAACATTAATATTATGAACCAATGGGAAAATACCTAATCGAAATGCAATTTGACGGAAGCTGTCAAAGGTCCCTGAATATCAAAGATTTCTATTGAAATATTGAATAAAATCGTGAAAATTCGACTGTATTATAAACAAGACCACTTTTTGATTCCAACATGATGCTTTTGTACAGAAAAAACAGGACAACTTTCATGTATTTTGATATATATACATAAAAGCTCTATCGAACGGTCTGTGCATTACTAATTGAAAAAAAATTCATCGATTTTTATTTTGTTGAACGATGATATTGTAGCGTTTTTCTGGGTTCTTTTGGGTGTAGATTAAAACAATGGATTCCACAAAAAGTAATACACTAATTTGTGTAACTTGATAGAACATTTATATACACCACTATTTATGTATGTCTGAGAAATTCTTTTATCGCCATTAACTGCACTATACTCCACTCCGCTCTGCTCTGGTGTAATCTGTACTCTCTGCTTCCATCTTCCGGCCGCCGAGTTATATATAGTCACAGCCGACGTCAACTACGAGCCGTGAACAAAGAAATCTGGCAACGTAGGTGGTAGTGTTACTCCCGCCGCTGCTTGCTGCATCGACGCAACTCGTGCTCAAAACGCTGAGAAAACATAACCTTTTCAATTTGTGATTTTGGAATCCCAGAGGCTGTAATTAAGAGATAAGCTTGTTTTCTAAGCTTCAAAGTGTGTGTATGTGTTCAAAGTGATCGGTGACTATAATATATGAGAAATAGACTCCAGTTGTAGTGCTTCTGTGCTTTAAAAATAAACTTACTGTGGCTCTTCGCGACTCAGGACGCTAAGGATTTCATCTATTGAAAACGTGCAAATTCAGGTTGTATTTTTCTTTTTTCTTTTATCAAGTATTTGACGCAGACAATATGCCTCGTTGTTGCTGTGTTCCTTTATGCAATGCAAACTATAATTCTGCTTTGAAAACAGAAAGCTATGTTTCAACTTTTCGCTTCCCAAGTACCGAAAGTCTGAAAAACAAATGGCTTATGGCAATTCCCAGAAAAAATTGGACACCTTCAAAATATTCAGCTTTGTGCAGTCGTCATTTTAGAGAATCGGATATCATCAGGACAGAAAATATAGTTTTGGCGGATGGAACAATCCAAAATAATATACCTTTGAAATATCCAAAATTTAAAGAAAATGCTGTTCCCTCCATTTTCCCAAACTTGCCATCATATCTTTCAAAAACTGAAGCACCCAAAAGAACTGACCCAATGCAAAGAAAACAAAAATTAATTGAGAAACATGAAAAAGCTATCCAGAATTTCGATGATATGTATAAGATCAAAGATAAATTTAGTTAAAAAATTTGGATTTGAAGTTATTTGTGTTGTTACTGATAATCACCGAATTAATAGAGCAATGTTCAGGAAATTAGCAAAGGATTCATCAGAAAATAATTCTATTTCAAATCCACATAATCCTGATAAGAACATATATTTAACTTATGATGTTGTGCATATTTTCAAGAGTATCAAAAATAATTGGATTAATTTAAAAAACCTAGACAAAACTTTTGTACGTATATATCCTAATTTTGACAATAATGATATTATTCAGTATGCTAAATTTGAAAACATTCGTGCTGTATATCAATTGGAAAAAAGAAGCTGTAGTTAAGAAAGCATATAAATTAAATTATAAAACATTGCATCCAAATTCATTTGAAAGGCAAAATGTAAATTTTGTAGATAATTTATTCCATCACTCAACAATAGCTGCTATGAAAGACTTAAAGTTTAATAATGCTGCACACTTTTTGGAAATAATCAGGAATTGGTGAGATATTGTCAGTAATACAAGTGTAATAAAAGGAGAATTGAAGCGAAACGAATTTTGTAAGCCTATTACCAATAAATATGATTATAGAGTACAATTTTTAAAAAAATCCCTGATATGGTTAGAAAAATGGCATAATCTAGAGAATAATAATGAACACCTGACACCAGAAACGTGTACAGCTCTATATCAAAGCACGCTGACTCTACTTAATTGAATATCCATTTAATCAATTTGACATTGAGTATGTATTGCCTGGAAAATTCACCACTGATAATTTAGAAAAACGATTTGGCAATTATAGACTTTTATGTGGCTGCAATTACAATGTGTCATATGATGAAATTTTAAATGCTGAAAAGAAAATACGGCTGAAGCATATTTTCAATGAAAAGAAATCATCATTTTCTTTAGCAGAAATTAAAACAAGGTTCCAAAACTGCTTAGAAACTCAAGAAAATTTTGATTACTTGGATACCAAACAACAAAACAAACAAAATCCTGAAGTTTTGGATATATTCAATGAAGTATTTGAGACAAATTACTTAGCCAATTGTGACATAGAGGATAGTACTAAGACTTACATATCTGGATATGCTTCACACGCTATCTCTAAAAACCTAAACTGCGAGATATGCAAATCGCTAATAGTTAAAGAAAAAGGTTCATTAACAACAAATGTTTATTTTGATCATTTGCAAAGAGGAGGACTGTCAATTCCAACCAGTTATGTACCAATCATATTCTACCATATGTATGCCATTTTTGAATCTATTATTAATGCAGATAGATTGGAAATTTTCTTCTTGAAAAGCAATAATCAAAAATTTATTTTGTGTCAGTTAACCTTGCTCAGCATTCAGTCTGACTTTATATACAATGAATTTTCTTTAACTTGCATCTGTGGCCGCAATTATGCAGATATTCTATCTAAGCTTTTGTCTATTTTTTCAAACATAATTTTGAATGATTATGTAAAATTGAAAAATAACAGTAAAACTGAAAGTAAATGTATTAAAAACAAACAGGTAACTCCAAATTTCCAAGCTGGGCCTGTTGGAACATAGTGTGCTGACACCAAAAAACGTAAACTAAATACTTTTAATTAGGTTAACTGCATTAGCGACTCATATATATCACGATTATTTCGTATTTTTAAATTTTTTAGAGCTATTTCATATTAGGACGATTTGTATCGAATCGAACTGTCCTCTTTTCCAAAATTAAATTTAGTTCTTGAACGTTACACGAAGATGGAGCACACAGCCGCTGGCGGCCGACGTTCACAGGTAGCACTACCATGCCGTCCGAGCGCGGTGTTGCCTTTCTTTCATCACGGCTCGTAGTTGACGTCGGCTGTGATATAGTCCCAATTGCTGCTTCGAGAAAGGCCGGGTAAACCACAAAGCGACATCTAGAATATTGGAGGTCACTTCGCGTCGACGTAGAAAGCGATCCGCTGTCAAGGCCATCACAGACGCCGCCAAGCGGCTTGTGCGGTCGTGGTTAGCGTAAAAGCAGATATCGGCCATTACGCTCCGGCGAGTAGGAGACTCGCCCAACAGATGGCGCCTATTTGTCACAATATAAATTTGCGGCGTGCGAGCTGTAAAGTTATAAAGATGATAGAGTAGTGAAATACAAAGCAAAAGAAAGGTATCCGCCATTTTTATTCATAGAGTCAACTGACAAAGATAACAATGAGGCAACACTGCACTTTCTTTTCTGCGAAACCAATAATTTCTCCATCATTGTTCAACTTAAAAAAGTCATTAGTAAACAGATTAAACAAGACTGGCCCTAATACGGTTCCTTGTGGAACTCTACATACATCATGCTTTCACTTATGTCCTCCGAGTGTTGTGACTCTACTAATGTTGGGTAGTCAACATTTCGGTACTTAAGGCGGTATCGACAGTCGTTCCCACTATTGCGGGATGCCTTTATGGCTGTCCAGATTTTCATAGTCTTTTCTCTCCTTCAGAAAGACTGTGGTATTTCTAGATTTCTACTGTTCCGTGTCAGCGTCAGCGCTCCCTTATTTTGAGGTTATGCTTTCATTATGAATTGTAGGAAATTTCGGGCTGATGAAACAGTTGGTAGAAACCAAAAGCATGAAAAATTTGATGCAAATCGGAATTTGTAACATAACCTCAAAATACATCACTTTTTTGTCTTATTCGCGGCTGTTTCAATATAAAAGTATTACTTTAATATTTTGGTGTGTGTGGCAATGACGTCTTCTTCCCTATTTCCTTGCAGGGCCCGACTTGGCATGGTTGCAGCGGCGTTCACACGCATATGACCAATACTCGGATCACGGACATTGAGATTGTGGAGAGACGGTATCCTGTACATGTGCGTACGTTTACACTCAGGGAGAACAGCGGCGGTTCTGGAAAGTACCGCGGAGGAGACGGAGTCAAGAGAGAGCTGCTCTTCAGGGCGCCGATTACGTTGAGCGTGCTCACAGAAAGAAGGGTTCTGCAGCCATACGGAATGGAAGGTGGGCGGTTATTATATTACGGCATTTCAGTCATGAGATTCTTTTGAGTAAGCTAAAGTACAATAGATTCTTGCAAGATCAGTCTTAACTGTGATCTGTTACTATTTGTCATGGAATGTGATATTTATTGACCGTGTAGACAGCACGTCAGTAATTATTGAGGTAAAGGAAATTTATCCAATATACGTTAAATTTTGGTTTGGAGGTAGTTCACCTTTTTTTTCAGATATAATAATTGTGAAGTCATCTGGAAACATAGTTATAAGCTCCTCAGAGATATGACTGGGCAAATAACTTAGATCTACCCTGCTCATATATGATACACACCCTATCCTGTGCTTCCAATGTTTACTTTGAGTTTTCTGTCCTCCATGTATGAGATCAGCCAATTCAAAAAGAAACCTCTTATACCCATCGTATATAATTTTTGGCTTAATATATTTATATCTACAGGGTGTCCGCAAAGTTGGGGTTTTGCTTTTCAGTAACAACTAACCTTGAAATAACAAAGGTAATGTGTAGTGAAACGAGGGCGACCAAGTAAAAAAAATAAAGGAAAAAGTACTCACTCTCCAGTTGACGAGAAGGGCTAAGTACGTCTCTGCCTGAAATCATACCGCTCTAACAGAAAATGAAATCAGCTGATGCGTTACCGAGCAGACGCTGGTGGTGGTGCAGACCACGAACAGAGGTAACAAATAAGACGGCGTTGCCGTGTTTTCAGTTTTTAGGTAAACGTACTTTATAGGTATTGTTCGAAGTTATCGCCGTTTGATCAAAAACACAGGTGCGTGCACGACGTAGCCAAGCATCGGTGCAGGCTTTGAGAATGGAGCCCCTCCCCCAAATGAAAGCACCAGCTTGTTCAATTCTGAGACGAAATTCGTCAACCGTATGCACTTCAGTTTTGTACACTAAGCATTTCATTTATCCCCAAAGAAAAAAATCACATGGTGTTAAGTCTGGAGATCGCGGAGGCCATGCTACGGGTCCATTACGTCCGATCCACCTATTCGGATATAATTCATTCAAAAACTCACGCACTTCGCGTCTAAAATGGGGCGGTGCACCATCGTGCAGAAACCACATTGATAGTCTTACACTTAATGGCACATCTTCTAACAAGGAAGGCAAAATGTTGCGTAAAAAGTCTAGGTATTGCATCCCGTCCAATCGATTTGGGAGAATAAATGGTCCAATGAGCTTACCGTTCACCATGCCAGCCCAAACATTCACCGAAAATGTTTGTTGAAAATGTGCCCGACGGACAGCGTGCGGACTTTCTACTGACCAAACATGAGTGTTGCGAAAGTTATTCACCCCATTACGCGTGAACGTAGATTCGTCTGTCACCAATATGCACTTCAAAAAGTCCGGATTATTGTCATGTTGATGCAACAACCACTCACAAAACCTCACTCTTGCTGGAAAATCATCAGGTTGAAGGGCTTGTACACGTTGGACGTGAAACGGATACAGCCCCTCTTCACGCAGCGTTTGCCACACTTTAGTTTTTAATACTTGCACTTCTCTTGCCACGTCTCTAGTGCTTGTTGAGGGATTCTCGTCTACGCGATTCAGTAGTTCTTACTCAACTTGCACCATTCGTGGTTGTCTAGGCCTCCCACTGTGCCCACCTCGAAATTCCTCCAAATGGCCCGTATCCCTGACTCTCTGGACCAGGTACACACATCTGCGGGGCCTTGGATGATGTCGTCTAGGCAAACGATCTGCATACACTCGCGACGCCTCTGTAGCATTTTGAAGACATTCGCCATAAATTAACAACATATCAACGAGTTCATTATTGGTGTATGAGTGTGCCATTATTTTTTTTTTTGAAACGCAATCGTTTATACGGGTTCGTTTACCTCTACACGCGTGACCGTAACCGGTGGTTGACGGTTGCATACTGACCTGACACACTGACCCCGACCCAGTTCTGTCGTCGGGTTGAGCTAGTGTCCTAGTACCACTCGGGGATGTCGCGGGTCGCGGCTACAGGACGGTATTAAGATATTTTTGATGTTGCAGAGCCCTTTATCTCGGTTCCCTTAAGACATTGGTGTATATGGTACTAAGAAAAATTGCTTATGTTTTCAAGATCTACACGTCGTGTAAAGGAAAACCCCAACTTTGCGGACATGTATATGTCAAATGCCTTAGATAGGTTTAGTTTCTTACAGGTGTGTTCTAATAAGTGACAACTAGCAAGTTTGAACTAGATCCTTCGGCTCTAAAAACATGCTGAGATGTATTTAGGATAACAGATTTTCCAGCAAAATCATATAGTCTATGATACATGGCTTTCCCTGGCCATGTAGATATGTTGACTAACAAATTTATTACAGAAGGTACCAAGCGAGTTATGTCTATTGTAGGTGGTGATCCTGGAGCTAGAGGAATAAACTTACTTGTCAGGGCCGATGGAAGGGTGATAAATCTCGGTCCCAAGACGGCTGTACAAATATTTCCAGGTGTAAGTAGCTCTATTTCTATTATACTATTACATCACAATGCCATACGAAATAAGTACAGAGAATAACTATTGGTTCCGCGTACGTAGCTTTAAACTTCCAAGGGGAAATTTCACTCTGCGCCAGCTGACCCGTGACACCGCTGCTACTCGCTCTTGCACACACACACATGGATTGGATGGTAGATGACCGCTTTTTTACTATCTTTATAAAAATACTTCTAATACACACTGTCCTATCTTCAGGCACTACTATGTTTTGTATTGAAGATCAACATGGTGATACTGTTAGGGCACAACACAAAAAATAAATTATGAATGGCTCAGCACGGGTAGTTTGTTTCATAAAAAGTGACAATTTGTCAGTTTTTTCGACATTTTATTAGTTTTTTGTGACATAACGTAGGTTTTTCTACAAAATGTCAACTTAGCACTAGCTGTTGTACGCTCGTTGTGAATGCGTTTTGTGACTATACGTGTTGCCTAAACGTCACGATGCTTTAGTTATCAATGTTTGGCTCTGATGTGATTGTAAAATCTGCTTCAGAGATGGCATTCTTGGAGGTCTAAGTTGAAGAGAACGGTATTAAATTTTCTGTGGCCTAATTTTAAGTTAGGAATAAGATATCGCGATGTAGCTTTTGCGAGTTTGTTCATCGTTATTATTTTGTTACAAAATTATTTAATCAATAGAAGTAGCAAGGTAGCAAATTAGGCCCATTACCATTTATTTTATATATCAACGACATTCTTGATATTTTACAACACTAAAAAATTCAATTATTTGCTGTTGATACATTAATATATATATATATATATATATATATATATATATATATATATATAACTTGAGACGTGGTCATTGTCGTCTAGACCAGTTAGGTGAAAAATTAAAGCTTGCGCCTTTTGTTGGGTACTTAATGTCAAAGAGTTCATCTCACTCATTATTCCATGACCACCATTTTGTGCAATTATCAAGTGGCTTCACAATGTAATGCTTTAATGTTTTTTAAATAATTTTTAATCTGTTTTTAACTTGTTCTTGTCATATTTTATATAATTTTGACCATTGTACCATCTATCCAGCTCTCACCATGTTACTGGACGTTTCCCTCATCCTATACGTAAACAACAATTAGCAACATCCTCACATACTACTGTAAGTTGAGTCAATTTAAATTCATTTTACACTATTGTTGCTACTGTTATCATGGTAATTGCAGCTCCTGATGATGATGGCAAAGTCCATTGAAAGCTAGAGAGAATTAAAAAAGTATAAAGAGTCCTCTTTGCTTAAATTTTGTCGAAGTACCCAATAAAAGGAGGAAGCTTTAATTTTTCACCTATACAGGGTTATCCAAATTAAGTGTCCACCATTAGTAACTTTGTTATTAGTGAAAATACAAAGTTGTTTGAATTAGCAAACTAGTAGCATTTTTAACGCTGGTAAAAATGAGAAATAAAAAAAACAATTGAGAGTCGTTATTTTGATTTTTTTCAGTAAAATAACATTTTTTTAAATGGAAACCCCTGTATATTATATTTTTTTCTGTTAAAGCATCAAATTTTAAACAAAAAAGTTCATAATGACTTTTCCGCTAAAGTCAAAAATAAAGTCAAAATAACGATAAATATTTTTAATTATTTGCAGTATTATAATATTAAGACGGCTATGAAAACAACATGGCGTTCGCGATTTGACAGCATTAAGATAAGCGACAAATTGTTAAACTGGACATACTCGCAACTAGAAGGCTTTGGAAAACAATGATAAAATCAAATAATGTCAAACATTAGTGTAAATACTTGTTTATAAGCTTTATTGTGTCATTAATTTAAAGAAAAATGTTCTCCCATGAAGAAAAGTGTGATATGTTAGAATGCTATTTAGTGTGCAGAAAATCCTCCTTGAGCAAGAGAATACTACAGTGAATTATATCCCGCCCGCATTCAACCGTATGAACGATATTTTCTGAGACTTTATCGAAAATTTAGGGGCAACGAAAATGTTTTTGCTAAAACAAGGGCAAAAAAAGAATTCATAATAAGCGAGGCCACGGAAATTGCAGTTATTGGATATTTTGAAGCTTATCGTGAGAATTCAATAGCAGATATTCTTAAGGACTCTAATTTCAGTTATGGTACTGTTCAAAGGATTTTAAAAAAATACAAATTTATTCCGTATAAGTACCGACCAGTTCAAACGCTTTTGGCAGGGGATCCAGAGAGAAGACTTGTTTTTTGCCATTGGTATCTTAGCTTCTGTCGCCAAAATGTAAATAACTTTCGCTACCTTTTATGGACAGATGAATCAAATTTTTCAAATTCTGGAATGTTTAATAGAAAAAACCACCATTATTCGTCAAGAGAAAATCTTTTGTTAGTACATCCAAGAGGCCCACAAGTCCGTTTCAGTTTCAACGTTTGGTGCGGTATAATTGGTTCAAAAATTGTTGGCCCGTTCTTTTATGAGGGAACCCTAACTGGTGAAAGATATGTGGAATTTATGTCAGAAATTCTGACTAATTTCTTAGACGAATTGGATCTTATAAGTAGACATCATCTGCATTTTCAGCAAGATGGCGCACCTGCCCACAACTCCAGAGGTACTTATCATTTTCTAAGTACTACTTTTAATGATCAGTGGATAGGAACAAATGGCCCAATACAGTGGCCTCCCAGATCCCCAGATCTAAACCCACTTGATTACTTCTTGTGGGGTTACTTAAAGAACCAAATTTACAAGCGAAGGTACGATAACCTTGACGCGTTAAAGACTGCAGTTAGGGAAAAGATAACCCAGATAGATGGTAGGACCATACTTAAGACAGTTCGAGCAGTTGAAAAACGTGCCCAAAAATGTATTGAAGAACAAGGTGGTGTTTTCGAGCATCTTCTTTAAAAAAAAATGTTATTGTATTTTGTAAGATTATAAGTTGATGTTGAAAATAAAGTTTGTCGATACAATTTAATTGTTTCAGATTGGAGGCCATAACTTCAACAATTTGTAACCTAGGAGAAAAGTTATTGTAAGCTTTTTTGTTTAAAATTTGATGCTTTAACAGAAAAAAATATAATATACAGGGGTTTCCATTTAAAAAAATGTTATTTTACTGAAAAAAATCAAAATAACGACTCTCAATTGTTTTTTTTTATTTCTCATTTTTACCAGCGTTAAAAATGCTACTAGTTTGCTAATTTAAACAACTTTGTATTTTCACTAATAACAAAGTTACTAATGGTGGACACTTAATTTGGATAACCCTGTAGACTTTCATCTACAAAGCTGCAGTAGCAATATAACGGGCAAGTCCGTATTTCAAGAGGGATTGTACGAATTTAATAAATTAAGTAATGATATCAAGATGTGTGTCAGTTTTAAAATGTTCAAAGGGAAATTGCAAGAATATCCCATGAAAACCCAGAATTCATAGTAGTGAAATTTTGTATAAAAATATGTAGTCTTGAAGGCATAATATATTTTGTGATACATTGTATAATATGGATATTATGGATATTGTAGAATTAATGCTAAATAAATCTGAAACAAACAGACAAATTAAGTTAATTTTTCATAAAAAAAATCATACCAATGTATTTAATTTTTTTGAGAAAATTTGCCATTTCTGTTGGCATGTCTAAAAAGGTCCTCTAGCGGCCACATGTGAAACTAAAAAAAACTTCAAATATATCATTTACAAGGTGTTTTTTACGAAAAACCTTCATTTCTAGAGATACAGCAAAAACAAAAAAGTTCACATTATCCAGAACTTTAAAGGTCAGGTATTTTTTTTTAGGGTAATATAGCGGAATTCATAGAAACATCACCTTTTTAGATTCAAGATTGCAGTTACTTCCCCCAGTAATAACTTTTTTGCCGCAAGCCTCTACGACGGATAGGCCCTCAGATACAGTATCTCGCATTCTTAGTTGGCCACCCTATATAACAAAGAAAATACTGAGTGATAGCTCACCTTTCAGGCAAGCAAAACATTATAACCAATAAAACACAAACAGTGTAATTAGATTCACACCGCGCACTAGTCGATCTTAGAAACGACCGGTAAAGCCGTTTGCGTGTACATGACGCCATTGAAACTTACCTTGAGAACAAGTGCCCAGAGGAGGAATGGAATGTATAACATAAACAGGTCTAAGGGCGTCGTTTTAAGTTTGAAATACCTGTTTTGCATGCTTACACTTCTATTCTATGGACAGTCAGCTTAGTATAAGTAACTAACTTATACAGGGTGTTTCACATTTTATCCGACACATTTTAACCACATAGGCACTGTTACGAAAGAAGTTGATTTCTCAAAAAAAAAAAAAAACGTAATAAAAGTCTTACAGACATTAAGTTATACATATACACGAGTTTCAATATTGAATTGAAACATAAATATCTGTATTTTGAGTTCATCGTCGTGGTATTAGAACACGCATTAATAATTTATTGTAGCAAATGTTGTACAAATCAACTGACGAAAACAAAATACCAGGAATTTTTTGTTTTTTCATATTGATACGAACGTGTAAATAAGGTTTAATCTGTATCGTGGGTGATCTGAATGAAGAACGGTCGATTTTTGTGAAGTAAAATAAGAAAGCATCTTGCGAGTTTATGTTTTTAGTTATTAGGAACTATACAAAATAATGAAAGCATCGCCATGTGCAGATACCTCCCATAAATATAAAGAATATAAAAATATTTTTACTAATCTAGTTAGAGAAGCAAAACGCCAATTCTATGTAAAAAAATTACAAGATGCCAAATCTGATCCAAGAAAACTGTGGTCAGTTGTCGATCACTTAAGTAACAAAGACGTTCAAGAAAAGCCAAATATTGATGAAATTAAGAATCGTGATGGAACAATATTAACAGATAAACGACAAATATCCGATGCATTCTTAAATTTTTTCACTAATGTTGGAGAAAATTTAGCATCCAGTATTAAAAAAATGGTTTCGAACGAAAAGTTCACAAAAACCCAACTTCCCAATTC